AGCTACTGGAGGAGCTGGTGTGAGGTCATTGCTGCCAAAAGAGGTTCAACCAGTTATTAAATTAAATGCAATGATTCCTTTACTTTTTCTACCAGCACTTTAAATGTTTTACGGTTGTGTTCTATAAATACTATAGTCTATAAGTTGTGACTTTAGATGAAGATCTCATTAAATTTCATGACCAATTAATACAGAAAACAAGGTCATTCCAAAGGGTCCACACATTTTTTCTTGCCACTGTAGTGATTCATAGCTCTTTTTTCACTTTTTAACATTAAGTGTAAACAAACTCACCTTTGAACCAGTTAACATGGTAGTGAGCATTTTTGTGCCATTCCCAACACCAACAACTGAAAGAAACAGAGACCATGTTAGAATCTCAAGGCAACACTTCATCATCACAATATAACACCAAGTCAATTAAACTTCAGGGATATAAATCTGTCCTTTTAGGAAGCACAAGTGATTGTGAATCAATTTCACCTGCTTTGGTGGAAGTGAAAGTGGCAACAGGTGCAATGGAGAGGCCAAAGCAAGACAATAAAAGGGGAATGGTTTTGCATGTGGTGGCCACAGACAGTTGCTCTCTCCTGATCCTTCCTGACTGATTGTTCTCTAGTTTTGTGTTTTGCTAGTGTCCTTGTAACTACTGGTAGCATGAGGCGGTACCTGCAGCCCAATCAGGTTGCACAGGTAGTCCAGCTCCTCCAGGATGGCACATCCATACGTGAGGCCCCAAGAAGGTTTGCTGTGTCTCCCAGCACAGTCTCAAGAGCATGGAGGAGGAACAAGGAGACTGGCTGTTACACGAGGAGAGCTGGACAGGGCTGTAGAAGGGCATCAACCAAGCAGCAGGACCGGTACCTGCTCCTTTGTGTGAGGAGGAACAGGAGGAGCACTGCCAGAGCCCTACAACATGACCTCCAGCAGGCTACTGGTGTGCATGTTTCTGACCAAACTGTCAGAAACAGACTCCATGAGGGTGGCATGAGGGCCCGACATCCTCTAGTGGGACCTGTGCTCACAGCCCAGCACCCTGCAGCTCGACTGGCATTCGCCAGAGAACACCAGAATTGGCAGGTCTGCCACTGGCGCCCTGATCTCTTCACAGATGAGAGCAAGTTCACACTGAGCACATGTGACAGGCGTGAAAGAGTCTGGAGACGCCATGGTGATCGCTATGCTGCCTGTAACATCATCCAGCATGACCGGTNCAGCTCGACTGGCATTCGCCAGAGAACACCAGAATTGGCAGGTCTGTCACTGGCGCCCTGATCTCTTCACAGATGAGAGCAAGTTCACACTGAGCACATGTGACAGGCGTGAAAGAGTCTGGAGACGCCATGGTGATCGCTATGCTGCCTGTAACATCATCCAGCATGACCGGTTTGGCGGTGAGTCAGTGATGGTCTGGGGAAGCATATCCTTGGAGAGTCACACGGACCTCCATGTCACAGCCAGCGGTACCCTNAAACTGTACATCTCTGCTGAACCAAATGATGCTGCAGCGATAAACTCCATTACTATATGTCTTCTAGCAATAAATAAATGGATGAGCAACAACTTCTTAAAGTTAAATGAGGACAAAACTGAAATCCTACTAGTCGGCCCCAAAACAAAAAAACAATGCTGTTCAATAACCTGGGGAAACTGATTCCCTGGATTAAATCTGAGGTAACAAGTCTTGGCATTATCTTGGATTCAGATCTAAGCTTCAAGTCCCACATCAACAAGGTGACAAAAACATAATTTTCCATAGACACAGAAACAGCTAAAGTACGGCCATTTATAAACCAAAAAGATGCTGAAAGATTGATTCATGCCTTCATTTCAAGCTGACTTGATTACTGCAACACACTTTTTACTGGGCTGCTGAAGAAAACCACTGAGAGACTTCAGCTAATTCAAAACTCTGCAGCTTGGCTATTAACCAGAACCAAGAAGAGAGAGCACATCAGTCCAGTTTTAGAGGCTCTGCATGGCCTTCCTGTGACATTCAGGACTGATTTCAAGCTCCTCCTCCTCATATACAAAGGCCTTAATGGGCAAGGACCAAGCTACATTGCTAACTCCCTGATTAACTATGTACCTCCGAGAACACTGAGATCATCCACTGCTGCTTTATTTAAGGTTCCCAGCAACAGCCGTAGGAAAACTGGATGCAGCCTTCTGCTCCTACGTTAGTTACGGCTCAATAATGAGAATCTATCTGAGCTGAAGCAGCTATATAATGCGGAATGGTCCACAGAATTCATCGTAAACATTGTGCAGGTCTGATCGGGAGCTACTGGAGGAGCTGGTGTGAGGTCATTGCTGCCAAAAGAGGTTCAACCAGTTATTAAATTAAATGCAATGATTCCTTTACTTTTTCTACCAGCACTTTAAATGTTTTACGGTTGTGTTCTATAAATACTATAGTCTATAAGTTGTGACTTTAGATGAAGATCTCATTAAATTTCATGACCAATTAATACAGAAAACAAGGTCATTCCAAAGGGTCCACACATTTTTTCTTGCCACTGTAGTGATTCATAGCTCTTTTTTCACTTTTTAACATTAAGTGTAAACAAACTCACCTTTGAACCAGTTAACATGGTAGTGAGCATTTTTGTGCCATTCCCAACACCAACAACTGAAAGAAACAGAGACCATGTTAGAATCTCAAGGCAACACTTCATCATCACAATATAACACCAAGTCAATTAAACTTCAGGGATATAAATCTGTCCTTTTAGGAAGCACAAGTGATTGTGAATCAATTTCACCTGCTTTGGTGGAAGTGAAAGTGGCAACAGGTGCAATGGAGAGGCCAAAGCAAGACAATAAAAGGGGAATGGTTTTGCATGTGGTGGCCACAGACAGTTGCTCTCTCCTGATCCTTCCTGACTGATTGTTCTCTAGTTTTGTGTTTTGCTAGTGTCCTTGTAACTACTGGTAGCATGAGGCGGTACCTGCAGCCCAATCAGGTTGCACAGGTAGTCCAGCTCCTCCAGGATGGCACATCCATACGTGAGGCCCCAAGAAGGTTTGCTGTGTCTCCCAGCACAGTCTCAAGAGCATGGAGGAGGAACAAGGAGACTGGCTGTTACACGAGGAGAGCTGGACAGGGCTGTAGAAGGGCATCAACCAAGCAGCAGGACCGGTACCTGCTCCTTTGTGTGAGGAGGAACAGGAGGAGCACTGCCAGAGCCCTACAACATGACCTCCAGCAGGCTACTGGTGTGCATGTTTCTGACCAAACTGTCAGAAACAGACTCCATGAGGGTGGCATGAGGGCCCGACATCCTCTAGTGGGACCTGTGCTCACAGCCCAGCACCCTGCAGCTCGACTGGCATTCGCCAGAGAACACCAGAATTGGCAGGTCTGCCACTGGCGCCCTGATCTCTTCACAGATGAGAGCAAGTTCACACTGAGCACATGTGACAGGCGTGAAAGAGTCTGGAGACGCCATGGTGATCGCTATGCTGCCTGTAACATCATCCAGCATGACCGGTTTGGCGGTGGGTCAGTGATGGTCTGGGGAAGCATATCCTTGGAGAGTCACACGGACCTCCATGTCACAGCCAGCGGTACCCTGACTGCTGTTAGGTACAGGGATGAAATCCTCAGAGCGATTGTCAGACCTTACGCTGGTGCAGTGGGCCCTGGGTTCCTCCTGGTGCAGGACAATGCCCGGCCTCATATGGCCAGAGTGTGTAGGCAGTTCCTGGATGATGAAGGCATTGATGCCATTGATTGACCCTCACGCTCCCCTGACCTTAATCCAAATGAGCACCTATGGGACGTAATGTATCTGTGCATCAGACGCTGCCAAGTACCGCCACAGACTGTCCAGGAGCTCACTGATGCCCTGATCCAGGTCAGGGAGGAGATCCCCCAGGACACCATACGCCCACAGGTTGTCGGGAGTGCAAACAGGCACGTGGGGGCCATACACACTACTGAGACACATTATGAGTTGCTGTGATGAAATTCATGCCTTCATTTCAAGCTGACTTGATTACTGCAACACACTTTTTACTGGGCTGCTGAAGAAAACCACTGAGAGACTTCAGCTAATTCAAAACTCTGCAGCTTGGCTATTAACCAGAACCAAGAAGAGAGAGCACATCAGTCCAGTTTTAGAGGCTCCGCATGGCCTTCCTGTGACATTCAGGACTGATTTCAAGCTCCTCCTCCTCATATACAAAGGCCTTAATGGGCAAGGACCAAGCTACATTGCTAACTCCCTGATTAACTATGTACCTCCGAGAACACTGAGATCATCCACTGCTGCTTTATTTAAGGTTCCCAGCAACAGCCGTAGGAAAACTGGATGCAGCCTTCTGCTCCTACGTTAGTTACGGCTCAATAATGAGAATCTATCTGAGCTGAAGCAGCTATATAATGCGGAATGGTCCACAGAATTCATCGTAAACATTGTGCAGGTCTGATCGGGAGCTACTGGAGGAGCTGGTGTGAGGTCATTGCTGCCAAAAGAGGTTCAACCAGTTATTAAATTAAATGCAATGATTCCTTTACTTTTTCTACCAGCACTTTAAATGTTTTACGGTTGTGTAAATACTATAAATACTATAGTCTATAAGTTGTGACTTTAGATGAAGATCTCATTAAATTTCATGACCAATTAATACAGAAAACAAGGTCATTCCAAAGGGTCCACACATTTTTTCTTGCCACTGTAGTGATTCATAGCTCTTTTTTCACTTTTTAACATTAAGTGTAAACAAACTCACCTTTGAACCAGTTAACATGGTAGTGAGCATTTTTGTGCCATTCCCAACACCAACAACTGAAAGAAACAGAGACCATGTTAGAATCTCAAGGCAACACTTCATCATCACAATATAACACCAAGTCAATTAAACTTCAGGGATATAAATCTGTCCTTTTAGGAAGCACAAGTGATTGTGAATCAATTTCACCTGCTTTGGTGGAAGTGAAAGTGGCAACAGGTGCAATGGAGAGGCCAAAGCAAGACAATAAAAGGGGAATGGTTTTGCATGTGGTGGCCACAGACAGTTGCTCTCTCCTGATCCTTCCTGACTGATTGTTCTCTAGTTTTGTGTTTTGCTAGTGTCCTTGTAACTACTGGTAGCATGAGGCGGTACCTGCAGCCCAATCAGGTTGCACAGGTAGTCCAGCTCCTCCAGGATGGCACATCCATACGTGAGGCCCCAAGAAGGTTTGCTGTGTCTCCCAGCACAGTCTCAAGAGCATGGAGGAGGAACAAGGAGACTGGCTGTTACACGAGGAGAGCTGGACAGGGCTGTAGAAGGGCATCAACCAAGCAGCAGGACCGGTACCTGCTCCTTTGTGTGAGGAGGAACAGGAGGAGCACTGCCAGAGCCCTACAACATGACCTCCAGCAGGCTACTGGTGTGCATGTTTCTGACCAAACTGTCAGAAACAGACTCCATGAGGGTGGCATGAGGGCCCGACATCCTCTAGTGGGACCTGTGCTCACAGCCCAGCACCCTGCAGCTCGACTGGCATTCGCCAGAGAACACCAGAATTGGCAGGTCTGCCACTGGCGCCCTGATCTCTTCACAGATGAGAGCAAGTTCACACTGAGCACATGTGACAGGCGTGAAAGAGTCTGGAGACGCCATGGTGATCGCTATGCTGCCTGTAACATCATCCAGCATGACCGGTTTGGCGGTGAGTCAGTGATGGTCTGGGGAAGCATATCCTTGGAGAGTCACACGGACCTCCATGTCACAGCCAGCGGTACCCTGACTGCTGTTAGGTACAGGGATGAAATCCTCAGAGCGATTGTCAGACCTTACGCTGGTGCAGTGGGCCCTGGGTTCCTCCTGGTGCAGGACAATGCCCGGCCTCATATGGCCAGAGTGTGTAGGCAGTTCCTGGATGATGAAGGCATTGATGCCATTGATTGACCCTCACGCTCCCCTGACCTTAATCCAAATGAGCACCTATGGGACGTAATGTATCTGTGCATCAGACGCTGCCAAGTACCGCCACAGACTGTCCAGGAGCTCACTGATGCCCTGATCCAGGTCAGGGAGGAGATCCCCCAGGACACCATACGCCCACAGGTTGTCGGGAGTGCAAACAGGCACGTGGGGGCCTTACACACTACTGAGACACATTATGAGTTGCTGTGATGAAATTCATGCAAGTTGGATCAGCCTGTGATTTCAATATTTTACTTTGATTTTCAGTGCGATTGTGAATCCAGCTCCATGAGAGACTAAAGAGAACTGATCTGGGGCTCATTCTATGTCCTACACAGTTCATCTAGTCCCACAGTTTAATGAATGTAGACAACACCAGTACTGACTACAACCTCAGTAAAAATCATGGTTGATTAACATCTCTCTGACAGTGTCAAAAGGGAACATTCATGGTCACCAGTGGAAGATCCTATTTACTTTGTTGATCCTCTCAAGTTTCCTCAAGCGCCACCATGAGGTTGCCATTTTTGTTTTTCAGTGAAATTTGGTTGAGACTTTCATGTTCCCCTCAGGATGAATAGTGATCATTTTGGTGAATTTCTGGCTGATCCTCTGACCTTTCATCTAGCTCCATCATCAGGCAGAAAATTCATTTTATCCTGTCCTTTGCTTTATGAACAAATACCTTCAAAACTAATGAGGTGCTGGACTGTGTGTTCACTGCAGAAAGCTTTGGCATGCTAACACACTAAAAGTGTGTGAACATGGTACACTTTATAAATAGTCATCAGCATGTTAGCATGCTGACATTAGCATTTTGCTCACAGTATCACTGTGCTTAAGTACAGCCTCACACATCTGACATGCATATCCATTCAGACATGTCTTTACAGTATCTACACCCCCTCCATTGTCCACAAGTTGCTCATGATATTAAAATGATACATGTAATTATTTGTAGTACAACACAAGCAGTACACCTCATCAGCTGCCTGTGTGGTCTAGCCTATCCCATTCTTTGTATACATGCGTCACTGAACACATATCTAGAGTCAGATGAGGGATGTTCAAAACTGGCTGAGGTGCACTTCACTAAGGCACAACACAAGATTAACACAAACCAATAAACAGGCATTGAGAAAGTTGCCACCCCTCCTTGGGACTGAGTTCATGAAATCAAACGTTGCCAAAGTAAAACTTATCAGTTGTACTGCCTACTTTGAATACTGAATCTCTTCAGCAACTGAATGAGGATGTTGACACTAGACCTTTTTGGTAACCTTGTCTGTCCTGTTTCTGTTATTATAAATATGAATATAATACTTTATTTTATTTATATTTTATTGATGATTGATGATCATCTAGAAGAGTAGATTACTCATACATATATATAAGTTTGTTCATCTGTTGCATTTTATTGTTAACTTGACCGTTAATAAATGGTGAGATCTTCTCTTTGTGTAAAGATATGCTGTTGTATCCTGACAAATATTCTGACTAAAATGAAGTCCATGACACAACTTGATTTAGAGGATCTTACTTTTAGAGATGAGGTATTTGATAGCAGGAACACTTTTCTTGATACTGTTTTAGTTTCCTTACTAACATAAGTGATATGAACTTAAAAGTGATCAACCTGGCTGGGACGACCTTGTTGTTCAATGCTTTGTAACTTTTGAATTTAAAAGCATTGAGCAACAACTGCACATGGATGTAATTATAATATATCCATGCAAGTGCTTCCCAGCCGGGATTATCAATTTTTTGTGTCCCCTGGAAACACTTCTGTTGTTGTCTTTGCTACTTGCAGTGTGTTTCTATATTTGGTTGCATTGTGGGTATTTGCAGTAAATGTGCTGTCAAATAGATGTTTTCTGAATTTTCATGTGTTTTCCTAGGTTGCAGTTTGTTGAACTCTCAGGGCCACGGTAGTATTGGGACGTACTGATAGGCCTACTATTCTGTAGCTTTATTTTGTTGGTAGAAGTATATGTATATGTTTTTGTATACAATACAAATATTTTCCCCTTTTTAAAAGGCTTGATGGCAGTGTTCAAGTAAGTAAATGTAATCGAGATACATCGCTAACAGTTAAAACCTCTAACAAGGCAGGAATGACAACTGTCGCACGTGCACCAGCGCCCGGCTGTGTACATGGTACTGTCCTCTTACCTAACACCCCACTGGCAGCACTGTCCAGGGTCCCTCCGTGCCCCATCTTTAGGCTCTGCTTCCTTCTCTTTCGCGGGTTTGGGTTTTCTACTCCAGCTTCTGAAAGATACGTGACACACAAACATTTCACTGTCAGCGACAGCAGTTGACAACAGACGTATGTCTTGATGCTGTCCTGTCGTATTACCCCTGAGTAAAGCTTCTTTGAGTGCATTCAACACGTCTGCAGATGTCGGCCCTTGTTTTTTATATATCGCAAACAACCCATTTAAAGACTGCAGTTTAGACAGAGAACTAGATATCGGGGCCGCTGAGTTACTGATGTTTCCAGCCATGCTTGTTCAGTCCTCCACGGCCAACACTCTTCTTCTTCTACTTGTAAACTGAAGCTTAGCGACTAGTTGTTGTGTTACCGCCATCTACTGGTTCAATCGTTGATTGCGTCTTTGACTACAACAAGTCAAAATAAAATGATATGAAATAACATTATATTAAATATCATTACGCTTCATCTCAGTTTTAGACTACTAAAGCTTGATTAAGTACAGTTTAATTCGTTTTACTTATCCTCTCTCAGGACGAGGGTACCTGGCTCGATAATATTTTTTTTCGAAACTACACTGACCAAGATACTTTGCGCGGAAATACCCTTCCTAGTTACTTTGTCGCTTGGCTTCCTCTGCCTGTCAGCTGTGCTATCTAAAACAACAACAATTGCCAGGAAGATATTTGTGCTGTAGCCGCTGAGGTCAGTGAGTTTTTTCGTCTGAAGGTGACGTTATTAATGTTTAGGAAAACTTCTTCATAGACTCACCTTAGCTCACGTCGCTTAACCATTTGTTAGCCGACGCTCTGTGACGATAACGTTACGCGACACTTCCATTCAAAATTTGTGACAGTGCAGTTTCTGAATCAATATAAGCCATATTCTGATTCGGCAATTACATGATATGACATGTTTATGCCTTTGTGCCACACTGCTTCCATCTGCCAGCTAACTTTACTGGCAAATCAGCTATTAAATTTAAAATTGATTATAAATGTAGTCAGCTTCTTTGAGTGGATGCTGCCGAATTGAAAAGTTAGATTCTAGAGTTGCTGGAAAGATTTTCCGTTCTATGTTATGTTGTATGTGCTTTTGTCGAAATCACGATGCAGTTTAAACCGCTACAGTTTTTGGAGTTTGGCTACTTGGGTATTTGCAAGGTCAGCTTTTCGAGACTTAGGTGTTAATTGCATATAGCTGGTATAGACGTCGATCCCGGATTGAACTGATGCTAGCCCAGTGTTTGTGAATGAGTGACTCTTGTAGCTGTAATTTCCTCTTAATAAGAACAGAGAAGCTCTAGAGGGAAGCACAGACAGTCTATCAGCAGCTGCTTCATGCAGTCTAGCCTCACAAAGGCAGCCGATTACTGCTGTTTGACCCTGGTCCCATACTGCATCATCTAGCAGAGAGAATCCCCTTTGGCCTGCAGTTTGGATGTTTTTGATGGAGGACAAAGGAAATCACCAGAATGAGAACCTGTGTTCTATTAGACCCATGATCTCACACAACACTGTGTTAGTAATTAGATTATTTTTGACAATTCATCTATCATTTTTTTACTCTTGTATTAAGCCTTTGGTCCATAAAATGTTATAAAATGATTGAAGTGTGCATCATAATTTACCAAAGCCCAACGTGATGTCATCTGATAGCTTGTTTTGTCCAACCAACAGTCCAAAACCAAGGCGTATTCAGTTTCCAATCACAAGAGAGAAGGACATCCTCACATTTTAAAAGCTATAACAAAATTAGGCTTTTTTGCTTAAAAACTGACTTGAAGAATTAATCAAATATCAATATAGTCACAGGATAATTTTCTTTCGATTGATTAAATGACTGATCGTCTCAGCTCTGTTTTGTCAACAGGTCAAGTCCCAGAGAAAAGAACAGAGACGTGAAGACAGCATTTGCATCTCAGATGAAAAGGAGGGACTGGTGACCCAGAATGGAGGATTTCAGGCGGATGTACCTGCGTTTGTGTAAGGAGGGAGGTGTGGAGCCCCAGGAGAGTGTAGTGGCACAGCTTCAGGAAGGCAGGGCTGCTCAAGGCTCCAGGCTGGACCTGAGTGGACAGAGCCTGTCGGTGGATACCTGCTCTGTGCTGGCCAGGGCCTTCCAAAAAGAGACCTACTTTACAGAGGTGTCACTCAGTGACTGCATGCTCAGCGAGGAAGGTGTGTGAATTTTTAAGACAGACAAACTGATCATATGTAGCCTGATATACATTAACATTGTGAGTTGCTTATTATAAAAATAGGTGGCAATTGGCATACTTAAAAATACATATATATGCTTGATACTTTTACCATAACTCATACATTGGTTTACTGTTACCTTGACTAAAGCTGCAAGAGAAGAAAGTCCAGTGTGGTTACTTACTACTGCCTGTGGCCTTTCAATAAAACCTGCCTGAGTTTGGCTGAAGTAGCTGCTGCAAACTCATCTAATGCAGTTAAGTCTGACTTTTGAAGGGTAAAGCTTATGTTATTGAATGTAGTTCTTATTATCATAAAATCAAATGAAAAGACACTAATCTTTGAAAACAGCTTATGAATATATAATTTAATTTTAAGGTTCAGTAATTTCATAAAACAGCTGCACCTGCATCAAACTTCACTCAAACAGGAGCAAATTTGTTAGGGGCTATTTCCAGCAGCGGATTAATCCAAGTTTGGTGCTGTAGTCAGTATTGACAGGAGCAGGATGGTGTGTGTGGTACTGAGTCAAAATAAACTACAGTGTGTGTGTGTGTGTTCAAAGTAATCCAGTGCAACAGTGTGTTTTTAAAAGTTTTATGGGAACAGTGGAGCTCTATTGCTCAGAACAATCAGATATATCAGACTGTAGATACATTTTCTGCACGTGAGATTTGACTGACATTAAGTACAAGATAACAATGTCTGCTTTTATCAGGTGCCAAAGTACTCCTGACTGGCCTGTTTGGCAACAACACTGTGAAAATCCTGGATCTGAAGGTATCACCTGCCAAATTTCAATGTTGATACCCACAGACACAAATGGATTTTGTTCCGTGAGATGTTTATCTATTGACAGCTGATGCAAATTATTGTTCACAGGGAAATAACCTGAGGTCTTCAGGGGCTGAGGTGTTGGGGAAATTATTGGCGCACAACAAGACTCTGCGTAGGTGAGAATGGTGTTCTACATGTGAGAATATTTTGTGTAGCTGTGATGCAGCACATGGTAAGAGAGAGAGTCAGTGAACCCTTTGAATGACCTGGTTTGCTGTATTCATTGTGTAGAAGCAAAATAAGGTTCAAGGAGAAAGGAAAAAGTCTTAAGAGGTCAAAACTCCAACACTCACAGTAGAAGAACTTTATTTGACCGAGACGTTTCAACTTATGGCCTTCATCAGGCTCATCACAAAACACATCACAAGTAGCATTTAAACAGGATAAGAATGAGACAGATTAATGTCTGTATTAATTGGTGATAAAATGTGATCTGACCCATTAAACATTCACAGTGCCGGTGGAAAAATTAAGTGAACCATTTGATTTAATAACTGATCAAACCTCCTTTGGCAGCAATAACCTAAAATAAGCTCTTCCAGTGCACAATTTTCAGGAGGAACTTTGGACCATTCTTCCTTGTAGAACTGCTTCAGCTCAGATGTAATAACATCTAAACTGTTTGAGATGACTCCCTAAATCTGATATCTCTTTGTTTCATAAAATATCAAATAAATCTCATAGATTCCAACAGAATAATCTCAACTCCAGGTTCATCTGCTGTCTGTTTCTGGAGTTTTCATCCACATCTCATGATCTTCATCTGCAGATGGAGTTTTCTTAGTTGTCACTTGACATCACCTGACCTAAGTATGGAACCTTTCCGTGACAGCTCAACACACTCTATCCACTGAGATGTGGTTGAAAGCATAGGTAAAAAGCTAGTAAGTGGACCTTGAGTCAAACTACTATTTCCAAGATCAAAAAGGATGTCAAATCATAAGAACCTCACATAAAATAAGCTTGACAGGCACATTGTGTATGTTACAATCAAAATCATAAAGGAAGTTAGTATAAAATCATTGAAAATCAATAATACCCTGGTGTTTGTACAGCTGCTAACATTTATTTTGCATCTGCTTATAAAATATATGATGCAGCCGATAATGATTATGCTTAAGAATTTAGGTGCTGCTAGTTCTGCTCATACATTGGACATCACTGTTCCTTGTTTGAGCTGCAGTGTGTGGAGTAACCATGGCTGGATTAACCTGTGGGAGAGCCTCACTCTAAAACTTCATCATCTGTCATTGTTCAGTAGCACAAGATTTGTGTATGCTTTTATGCCAACATGATCTTGGCTGTTTTGTGTAGGTTGATCAGTGTACATTGCAACATACCCAAGGTTGAAATGATCCACTGTTCTCCTGCTGCCCACTTTAGCCTGACCACTTGCATATATTTGATAGTTTAGTATTGGATGATTGCTTGGTCTTTCCTTGAACAGTTACCAGACAAACATCTGAGTAGTTGAGTTAATTAGGCTTGAAACCCAAATGAGTCCTATATTTACAGATCTGCTCATAGCTTGGAATGGTCAGAGATGTATTTATTCATAAAATTTTACTGCTACTACATATTCTAGTAGTCAGTTAATAAGTCACCCATCTGTTCTTTGAGAAAGATTCTCAATCAGGACATAAACCTGATTTTTGAAACTAAAAATAACTCCACAGTGCTGCAACAGTGAATAATGCCCCATCCCCATGAATTAACACAAGCTCCTAACTGCTGTTTGCAGGCTGGTGATGGAGTGGAATGCGTTGGGGGTGTGGGATGAGGCCTTCTCACTCTTTTGTGAGGGTTTGGCCTCCAACAGTGTGCTGACTCACCTGGACCTGCGCAACAATCAGATCAACCACCACGGAGCATCTGAGCTCGCTCTGGCACTCAAACGCAACACTGCCCTGGAAGTGCTAGGTGATTCACAGTTAAATGAAATATGAACCTTTCACTTTGTCTGTTCAGTATCAGAAAGTGTTCAATGTTAGGTGTATGGCATGATGTTATTGCTTGAAGTTTTTTGTCAGAACCGTTTCTGGACTGAGAGAAACCATGCTTTTAATAATAAATATATATGATGTATTTGATATCAGGAGTGGTCAAGAATCACTTTTGATTGTTATTTAAAAACATCATTTAGCTGTTGTGTGTGATGGAACTGCAGGAAATATTAGCACAACGTGCACAAGAAGTAGAAAAAATGTTTTTTGTCTGTTGCAGTCAGTCTGATGTTACTGTTGTGATGTACATGAATGATGGTCCACTCTAGCCTCTCTTAATGACTGTTACTGTCTGATCACAGATCTGAGGTGGAACAGCATCGGTCTGCTGGGTGGCAGGTCCCTGCTCGAGGCTCTGCAGAAGAACAAGAGCATAGTGCAGCTGGAGATGGCAGGAAACAACATTCCCTGTGATACACTCAAAGCACTTGGTCAGTCTTTCATTCAGAGGGAGTAATAATTAAAAACTGTGATTGTAACTCTAACAGTATGTCCTCAGTTTAGTGAACTGATTTGAATGTGGTACAGTTTTACCACGCATGCTCTCCCCTCTGTTGCTCTTTACCATTTTGTTCTTATTGTTTAACCCTTTCAGAGCAGACCACAGGGCACAACTCAGACAGACAGTCCACCCTGAGAGAGAGCCGCAGCAGGACCCAGGTCCTCAGCATGGAGATTCAGACCCTGAAGGACATGAAGGGCCGCCAGGTAACCCTCAAACTAAAGCATGGAATAATTCTCATACTCGTAGGCTGCTTTCATACCACTACTACTTTGATTCATCTGTTTATTTCCTTTTAATTATGATCTGGTCCTTGTTCACATTGACTTTTCATAAATAAACCAAGAAAACATGAGGTCACATGGGCTGACAGTTTTGGGGACGTCATCCTGCATCATCATTATGGAATCACATGGTGAAGTTAAATTCCAATGACTGACAGCAGGTCATGTGGCATTTTACTGAACCTGATGTGTTTCTTAATCTTCTCAAGAAGCTTATCAAGAAATAACGAATTATGAGCATTATTAGTTCTATTAGATTATAAATCATAAATATTATGAATCATAATGAACAAGGAGAAACAGGAAGATGCGTCTTTTATTGTTGCTCTAGCTGCTATGTCTCACTTACTGTCTAATGTCCCTCGAGATGCCTGAAATATACAACCAGACAAACTTCTCAGATCCCTACTGCAGCATCTCAAATGATATGATCACAATGCTCAGTTATGGAGGAAGTGATAAACTTTTTGTTGCCACCTTTCAAGTCTACTGGCGGTGTGTTTGATACTCTTAAGACTTTTGGGCCTTTATTGATATACACGAGAATTTGGGTGAAAATCTGTCCCTTTAAATGATCTGTGAAGTATGACAGATTTAGGATGAAGTTTATGGTTATCACTCTGGTTGTTCCTCCTCTCTTTCAGTTCCTAAACCTGATGGAAACCATAGACAGACAGAGGGAAGAGATAAGCCACTCCAACAGGTGAGAGCAAATGGTAATATTTTTGGTCATCTGCTGTAACCATAACTGACAGTTCCACATAAGCCTTTAATACCTTACATTTGCAAAGGAAATAAACTTAGCACTTTTTTTAACAGTTACTCTGCAACTTCCTCTAAAACATTATTGACATCATCAAACAAACATATTTGGAAGAAAATCAGATTGTGTATCCATGATCTCATTACCTCCTTTCTGTTTCATTAGGTCCACTTCCATTCAGATTGGCCAACTCCAGGAAGCTCTGAATGAGAGGAAGTCAGCTGTCAACTCTCTCACTGCCAAGTAAGCATTTCATTCTCCTTTATTCCACGTTTACAATAAGAGTCTGAGTGTTGCATGTAATACTCAGCCAAACACAAGACTGTGTAAAGGACTGTACTATAACCTACTGTGGACACTGTGTCTGATGAGAGGCCTCCCCACTGACTCGGCCCCAGCCTGACACATGTATTTACCCTGACCTATCATGTTATGAGCTCTTTCTGCTTGGACAGAGTTAGTACAGTATGATATATATATATATATATGTATATATATATATATATAGTATGACTATACTATACTATACTAAGCACGTTTTAAGAACCAAAAACCATCTCAGTGTAGTTTTAATCTCCTCTCTCAGGTTTCCCTCTGGAGCTCTAGCAACAACAGGTCAGTGAGCCAATCAGAAGAGTGGAGGTTCTGAGCCTCTCGTCTGATTGGCTGACTGTTTTCTGAGTGATGCAATAAAAATATAGTAGATTCCTGCAAGGTTGGATGGTGGGTCCACGTGCGTGGGGCTTGGGGCATGGCTGAGAGTGGTGACTGCTTTGTTGTGACATCACAAAGTTCCAGAAGTACTGAGGGCTGGTTTTAAGGCTCAGTTTCTGAATACAGGCTGTGTGCATTTCTCTGTGGACTGAGTGGTTTGATACTTTCACGGTATTAATATAGAACCTAGACCTGCTTTATAATCACACAACACATGGACATCTGCTTTTGGACCTTTAAAAATCACCAACACTTGTGTTGATGTCATCATGTCATTTGTTTTCAGTAGTTTTGTGTGTTTTTCACAAATACATTACCATGAGGGATATGTCTTTTTTTTAATCCAAACGTATTAAATTTTAATTGAAGTTTGAGAGTGATTAAATGACTTGTTAGTGGCCTTAAAATAAATTTGAACTAAACAACACTGAATGGTTCATTTGCAAAATTAAAGAATTTATATAATAAATGCAAAACAAGCAATCGTTTACAACCATTACTCGTGTACACAAAACTATACAAAGCATTAAAAACAAACATTAACAACAGAGATTTGGTGACTGTGTGCTGTTATTCTTAATAATATTTATTTGTCCAAAATTGATCAACTGGATCTGAAACCGACCTGAGAACACAAACCTGAACCAAATGTTCCCCGGATTTGTGTTTTCTCCCTGTTTAATTGTTAGAAAGCTTCAAGCCGTCCAGTTATCAATGTCATCTCAGCAGCTGATCAGGGAATTTATGGGAGTGAAGTTGTCAAGGTCCAGTGAGATGAGATATTGTGTGTCATCAGCATAACTATGATAACTAATGTTTACCGAGGAAGTAACCAGGGAGAAGGATGAAAAGGCTGAACAGAACGGAGCCCTGTGGGACCTCACAGAGCAAACCGACCCCCATGTTTTTCCTGCACTTCACTGTTCATTTTTCATATAGTTGATAATTTTGTGGCACCATGTGATCAGAGCTGATAAAGTCCACTTAGATCTATTTGGTCATTTTTTTTAGATGATCTTCTTTTTATTTTGATTAACACACCTGAGACCTGTGGCAAGACAACAGAACCCTATAACACCCAATTAGATTGAATATTATTCATACTTGGTCTGACTCAGATCCCTGGTTCGGTCTAGGATCCAAGTGGACCCATGAAGACCTCTACTTTATATGAATAAACTTGTCAGTGTTGTGTGTTTGAGCAATGGTGCCAAGTTATTTTCAACTACACTTTTCCAGCAACATTAAAGTTGTTATTAATACTGGGTGTTTCTGGGGTTTTAGCCAGTAACACTGCTCCTTCTCCAGGAACATTACAATTAGGTGATTCTATGCCAGAGGCACAAAGTCTAAACAAGTTCATATTTTCTGTCATTTTCCGTTAACGAGGACTGTTGACATATCTTTAAAATTATAGAGACACTGGTGCCTCATAAAAGATCAAAAACTGGTTGGTACAGTTTGATCATGATTATCAGGTGGTCATGTACTACAGATCAAATGATACTCTTGGCCTGTGTGTCTGTGTACATGCAAAAAATATTCATTTTCACTACGAATGTTCCTTTAAGTATAATAAGAAGCATGTAGAGTAACGATGGCTGAAAATAACGATTATTTCCAATATCGATTCATCTGGCAGTTGTTTACTTGATTGGTGTGGTCTGTAATATGTCAGAAAATAGTGAAAAGCCCTTTATAATATCCCACAGCCCAATGTGACGTCTTCAGATGTATTGTTCTTTCTGACCAACAGTTTAAAACCCAAATATACTAAATCTATTATCACATACGGCAATGAAAAGCATAAAATTGTCACATTTTGGAAACTGGAACGAGCAAATGTTTTTAGTGTAAAATTATTATTCAATTATCAAAATAGTAGCTTATTTATTTTTTGTCAATCCACTAATCATTACAGCTCCAACTATTCCTCTGATCACATGATTATTTGATGTGCAGACTGCAGATGACGGAAGCTGCCCTCGCTCTCTCTGAGCAGAAGAATCACAACATGGGAGAACTGCTGACTCGAGTGAAGGCTGAGAAAGAAGAACAGAGGGAGCGACAGAGCAGAGAGAGGAAGAAGGAGCAAGAGGTGAAAAAACAAGTTAAACAGACGTTAGCTTGGTTTAGATTTTTTTATTTATGATTCAGCCTGAACAAGCTCCTGAAAAATACATTTAATTGAACATATTTTGCTATATGAGTAATAAGTTTCTTGAGTGAATGTAAATGTTAGCACAACCCTGTGATGTGGTGTAGTAACTGATGTATGTTAGCTCGAGGTCACACTGAGGATAGTTGCCGTGGTAACGGTGCAGGCCATTCATGCAAGGAGCAGGTTTTGCTCTGGATTACACATATGAAATAACCACCTACTGACAATCAGCTGTGAAGAAAACCTAGAGTCATAAGTCCTATAAGACAAAATACTGCAGCCACATTATAGTGACAAGTGCAACAGCTCAGAGTCACATCCTCACAGTCCAAGGACAAACAAGACTTTACTTTGCATGGCAATAAATGTTTACAGTCCAGTTTACAGTTAACATCCAATTTTCATATTCTAGGGCTCTGCTTAACATTTAACCTGTGTTAACTTTCATCTAGTGAATCACTATCCTTAACTGCTGCTCATGTGTGGCAGTTTGTTAAAAACTCACACCTCTTTCCCATGCAGTAGCTCATAGCAGCTGGTGTGATGCCCCCAGAGTAAACTGAGCCAGTTGGTCATGCAGGATCACTAATGTTAGCAGAGAGCCTGAGTAGGTTGAAATTGTATGAAGTGTAACAAGGCAAAATCAAGGTTGTGTCCAGTGTTCGGACGACATGAACTCATGTTGTCTGTTTCCAGCTACAGTCTGAGTCAGTAACACAAGAACACATGAAGTTCTGCAAAACAAAAACACATTATCGGCATGCAAAATCAAACACTACACTTTACACTTATGAGATATGACTGTTATAAATTTGTGTTTTCCTCCTGTAGGACTGTGCGCTCAGAGAGAGCAAACTCCTCAGAGAGATCCAAGACCAGAACCAAACAAGCATCCAACTCAGGAGCAAAGTAAGAGAACCACGTCTAACAGTGTGGAATTATGTAGTTAGTATTTGATTATGAGCACTGTTAATTTAATTCAGTTTTTTATTTATACGGGGCTGAATCATAACATACATTATCACATGGCTGTTCACAGACTCAGGTCAGGACCTTACAATATTACAAGGAGAAATCCAACTGTTCCACCATGAGCAGCACTCAGTGACAGTGGAGAGGAAAAACTCCCTTTAACAGAAGGAAACCTCTAAAAGAACCAGACTCAGGGTGGGCGGCCGTCCGCCTCGACCGGTTGGGTTGAGAGGAAAGAAAGGGGGGAGAGGGGGAGAGACCGGGAACAGCTGTAAATACTGTTGTATTCAAGCACTGTCAGATGATGATGATAATGATAATAATAATAATGTTACTTAAAGGTGTAATTGTATCATTAATAATAACAGCAGCAATGATAGAAGCATCAGTTAATTAAGTTAAGTTGAGTTAATCACTTGCAGTATTAATCACTCCGTGCATCATGGGAATCCCCCAGCAGTCTAGGTCAATAGCAGCTTCACTAAGGGATGGTTCAGGACTCACTTGAGTCAACCCAAACTGTAAGCTTTATCAAAGAGGGAGTCTGCCTCCTGAACCCAGACTGGGAGCTGGTTCCACAGGAGAGGAGCCTGATAGCTGAAGGCTCTGCCTCCCATACTGCAACCTTAAAGCCTGAAGTATATTGCCTGTTGATAAAGATAAGGTGATCAGATCTGACATGGAAGTGTTAATTAAAGGTAAAGCATCATTGAACGGCCTAGTTGGAATAAGGTCTAAAAGACAGGTTTGATGTTTTGGATGAAGAAACTGTTGAAGTTAGCACAGACAGATCTATAGGAGAGAAGCTGTATTGATATAAATCAGCTGTTACAGTGGATTCTAAGGACGATGCATCTGTGCCAGTTGTGGCAGATGTGAGCCTAATTGTTTGTGTGTGTGTGTGTGTACGTGTGTGCGTGCGTGCATGTTAGGTGGAGGAGATGGAGCGTCGGTGTAAGTCTCAGCAGCACCAGATCTTTGAGCTGAAGCAAGAACTGACCAACAGCACAGCTGAACTCAAGCTGCGACTAGCACAGGCAGAAGGTAACACACACACACAGAACACGAACGCACACACAGTCTTTTTCACAACAAACCTAGCAGAGATTTTCTGTGTGTCATCCTCTGACAGATCGTCTGGAAATAGAGAAACGGAGGTCCAAGCAAGCCCTGGAGGACATGGACACTCTCCGACAGAAAGAGGTGCTCTCTTGAATTTCTGAGCAGGTTGCAACAGAATGAAACAATATTCTAAAGAGAATTTATATTTATCTAAACTCTACTCTTATCGTTGTAGTTTTGTCCATCACTTTGTACCTCCAATCTAAAACATTGCACTCACTAAGATAAGAGCTGAGATCTGGGAACATAATGACATCACTAAAAAGAAATCTGATGGGTCAGGAAACAAGTGATCACTTGATCAGAGTTAGTCAAACTTATTTGGAAGAGAAAACAAAGGTGAGAGGTCAAACTATTTCCCAAGCTGTCCATTGTAAACATTACGGTTTACAGACCCGCTTCCTGCTTTTCATGTTTCTTGAACTGTCAGACTTGTTTTTAGTGACCCAAGTCACTAAGTGTTCCCGGGTCTGAGTGATGAACTTGGTGAGTACTGTGCTATAACAACAGAAATGATTGACAAACCTCTGTCAATAAGACCCAAGTTGTAATGAACTAAAGTTATCCTGTTAATGTTTTAGATGGGATACACACACACACACACACACACACACACCTATGGAAATGAACCAATTATAATCATCATACCTGACTGAAAATCGGGCCACTGTTTTGTTTGTCTCGTGCATGCAGCTGATGGAATACACAGTCTTACCAGTATATTCCACTGGTCTACAAGTGTGTGTTACTTATGGATGGAATTATAGTGAAAATAAATTCCCGTTTTTTGCTGGGAGCCCCAGGAACCCCCTCGAGGACCCCTGAACCACTGATCTAAAGCACAGAAGACGAATATATGAAATAAATAAGTAATTAGGTAAATAATAAGTAAAATGATTAAGTACATTTTACTGATTGTGGATATTTGTGGAAAGGTTTAGGAAATTTATTTAAAGACATAGTTTAATACATCATCCCAGGAAATTACAGCTCCTGGTCAAGAAATATTCCTAAAATCCACATCCACAGTAAAACCACATGTTGTCATTTTACACTTGAATTTTTGTATTGATTACACAGACAAGATGTAATGTGTACATTAGCACACATTACATATATATATATATATATATATATATTTTTTTTTTTTTTTACCATGGGACACTTTTTTGTTTATTTAATTTTTCTGTATGATTCATAAAATCATAACATTATCATAGCTGTAGTCTTTTTAAAAAGATAAAATACCAAAAATTCTAATTTCTGTCCAGGTGGAGCACATGAATTGTCATCTCGAAGAAAGTGAGAGAGCTCTGCAAGAACGCATCTTCAAATTGGAGGGACAGAGGATACAACTGGAAGAGGTCAGAGTTCAGACGTCCTGATAGCTGCACACCACTGACAGAAACTGTAACGTTTCTGGTTCCATTCAAGCTGGGTATCGGATCCAATTTATAGTGTTCAGTGCACAGAATTGTAATCCTCACTCAGGACAGAGTAGACCCCCCCTACCAGTTTGATTAAGATGCTGTTACTGTTAAATCTTGTACAAAAACATGCAAGATCGCACTACATTGATTTAACTTAAGCCTTTAATTGAACAGTATTCAGCTCCACATCTTTGCACATAGGCTGTTATCACATTTTAACATGGACTTTAATGTGGTTTGTTGGTTAATGAATTTTTTGGCGTGTGTGGTGCAAAGTGACATGTGTAAGTAAATTGTAATGATCTTTGCTGCCTGTATTGAGTCAGGGCTACACAGAGAGCTCAGGTCATCAGACTGGACTCCCAGCAGCCTCTACACAGTGAGGTTAATTATCTTCCATCACAGTGGAGGTTTTACCTCCCTGGAGGTGACACAAACAGGTACATGAGATCTTTTTCTCCATCAGCTATTGGCTTTTTAAACCAAATTTGATTTGGCCTGTTGACTGCCACAGACGAAGAACAGTGTCTCTAGCTTCGCCCTTCCTTTCTCTGCTGCTGTCTCTGATGGTTTTGGTGAAATATGACAGTGACAACAGTGACCTGGAGCTTATTTTTTTGTATTGCATGTATGCAGGTATTGTATTGGTTGCTGTTCGGATTCATTATTGTCTTTACTACAATTGACTGAACTGATCTGAACTCTTGGAACTTGTTAACAACCACAACCATAATCTACATAAACCGATTATGGTGTAGTAGTGGAGTTTATGTCATTGTAACTGCTATAACTGATGTATGTTCCCTCAAACATGTATTTACATGTTCAGGCTACAGCTATACCCAGTGGAGACATCAAGAACTGTGATTAGTCAGCTTGGGCTGCTTGTGGTTTTTTCTGCATGTCTGATGATGTTGTTGACAGTGAAAACAACATTAGGGAAATTGAAGAAAGCACAGATCTATCAAACACCTATTCACCAGGATCAGTGCTCTCTGTCACAGTGAATGAAAGAACATCAACACATTACTTTGAGATAAGTAATTACAGCAAGATATGTCCTAATACTGTACAATACAATACAGTAGTGTTGCTGTGGTGCGATCAACAGGTGAAATCCTGCACTGAACTGTAAATCAAAGCAACTGATGCTGAGTGGATGCTGTATTTATTGAATGTGGGAAATTGTTACTTTCCCTAACTGTATTTTTCCAGGGAGTTCAGTTATTCAAATCTACATGTTTGTGGGAATTTCCCTCCTCTCAGGTCAAACTGGAAAAATGTAGCACATGGGAACACTTCAGTGCTAGAGTACTGTCTGCATTGTTAGGGAGGAGGCACAGTTGGTGGAGAGAGTTAAATAAACACATACCGTACACATCTTTGCTGTAATGTAATGTCATGTGAAAATGTATTGTGCATCTGTTGTAGGAACTGAGTAAAGCTAAAGCAGCGTGTGTGACAGAGAGGGTGCAGGCAGAGGAGGAACTGGGAAGAGTGCGAGCTCAAGTGCGTCTGGAAGAGGTGGGTTATATATTCACTCTCACTTTGTTTACTTCCATCTGTCTAGTGAATGGAAAGCAAGATAAATCAAAAACTGATGGCCACCTGCCATTAAAATTAAGCTCTTGATTGATCTCCAAATAATGTTGTTGACCTCTGAACTTTTCTGTAGCTCCGTCTTCAGACCAAAGATACTACATCTATACAAGAACTGTCAGTACAGTACATGAGTTTCTGTGCTGATACATAAACTACGTTTATGTGCGTAGATGTTGGATTTCTCTTCATTATCAAATAATTTCTTATTTTTGACAGAAAACATCACTGAAATGTCACTGTCTCCACATGCAGCTACTAAAATGGTTGAGACTTGTATTTATATTTTTTCATATGACATTCAGATTCAGCCTAGACTTTGAAACTAAAGTGAAAGGTATCAGTTTTATGTTGTGTTGCTGGTATGATGTCATTTATCTATGTCTAGGCTGAATCTGAAGATGACACAGACATGAAAAAAAATATAAATATGTTTTTTAACCAACTGTATTGAAATACATAATCTTACAATGAATGAACAACATTTCGTAAGGAACTATCTATTTAACAAGATTACACATGTGACCAGGCTTTTAATGCCAGCTGTGTGTCATTGACTCGGTCTGTTCCAAGAAGCACTGAGGTTGTCAAGGTTTGCGAGGTAAGCTGGACCCAAATGCAGCCAACACATGGGAGACGGTGCAGGCAGGTTTATTTAACAAAGAACAGACATGAACAGACGTGAACAAACCCTGAACTAAACAGACGAACCAACACAGACAAAGGGGAGCACAAAGACTATATAGACACAGGAGGCAAGGTGATTGCACACAGGTGAAACACATTAGGGCGGGGCAGACCATCACTACACAGAAACAAGACCAAGACAGGAAGCCAAAACACTGAGACACACAAGGAACCATATTACAAATTAAAACAGGAAGTGCACGGGGAAACAGAGCACAAGACAGGGAAGACTAAACTAGACACTAGAAATACCAAAAACACAGAAAACTAAAATCAAGAAAGTCCAAAAAACCAAAACCCTGGAGCCTCCAGGCTGAGACCATGACAGAGGTGCGTTAATCAACCCCAGTTATGAGGAGTGTCACAGCACAGGTAGTGCTGGTAAAATTGTTTACATTTTGTTTAAGCTATGCCAGCTGCCAACAGGCCACAACAACAATAAGAAATTATGCAGACCTTATATTCCACTTGTTCCTTGTAGTGTAGTCAGTGGACTGGGCAGCTGGAGCCAGGCCTGGCGCCCTCTTCTCGTGACACCAGCTGTGCGCTGAGTTTGTTTCACTTCATTTAGGTCAACAAATAAACTAAACTAATGCTTCAGGGATGAGGACCATCACTCCAGGTTGACTGTGGTCTTAGCAAGAAGTTTCTCTTTGCATTCATCTGCAGCACAGCACTCACACTTCCATATCTCTACTGTGACTGTGACACATTATTTGTTCTATCTACAACAAGAAGTTATGGTTTTCAAAAAAAAGGAAAGGAAAAGATATATCTTATTTTGACGTGATCTATCACAGTTATGATGTGCTGAAATTAATTTGTAGATATTTCACATGTAATTATGGATAATGAAAACAAACCATTCGGCCTTCCACACACAACACTTTCCTCCTTCAGTTTCTCCATCATCCTCCTCCTTCTCCCTGTGTCCTCTGAGCAGCAGGAGCACATGTCAGCCTTAGAGGAGAAGCTTCGCTCGGTGCGCTCCTCCCTGCAGGAGGTGCAGCTCCACTGCTCCCAGCAGAAGCAGACCATCTCTGAGCTGCAGGCCAAGACCAGCCAGCAGAGCGTCGAGATGGACGGACTGCGGCGCAGGATCGAGGAGCTCCAGCAGGTCAGGACTCACCAGGCGCCTGTTACACAACGTTCCAGGCTCACATTGTGTAGGCATCACCATATTCCATATGTCACTCCCGTGTTCACACCACAGACACACATTACAGTTGAACTAATGCTGTCATTATGGCTTACATGCAAATCAATATATACTGTATATCTGATGGGTTCAGTCAGTCTCAATCTGATATCTCATTTATCATTAAATGTGGCTTTTCCATTGAAGTCCCAGTGTTTCGGTGGTAGAACTGTCACCTCACAGTAATAAGTTCCTGGGCTTGAAGCCAACCTGGCCAGCAGAGCCTTGTCTGTAGGGAGTTTGCATGTGTTTGTATGGGTGAGTGAATTAAAGCAAAGGCATGTGTGAGGTGAAAAGACAGGTGCATGAAGAGTTTCTAAAAACAATGTAAAGTTATTGTAGTTTGGCTCAGCGGATGGGTCGGCTTATGAACACAGTTAACAGTTAGAGTTGCAGCAGAGGCTGAGACACACAGCTCATGAAGAACAAAACACAGAAGAAGTCAAGCTCATCAAACGCCAACTCAGAATCCAAAGAAACTGATTTAGTACAGAGAATATTATCAAGTTTCCACAGTGTAATCTTTAGCCTCTGCTTATTGTTAGTGGCTCATACAACAGAATTTTCAGCTTTCAGGTGATTGGATGTTTGTTACTGAAATGCACCTCAGGAGCTCCTTGACTCTTCTCCTCAGACTTGAACATTTGACTTTTTATAAATGAACCAGATATTTTCAATCCCAGTTTTTCAATGTTTGTACTAATGATTCAAGTCACCTAACATTGTCTGTGAGAAAATGGACATCTGTCTCAGACAGATGCTGGACACCCAAAGCAATTCCTCCCACTTTGCAACTCTATGATAGATTATCAACTGTCCAAGCTGTAGCGCATCTGTTGCCCATGCTGAGATAAGCCTCAACTGCCACTAAAGGCTGCTGTTCTGTGGCCTTGTCGGCCTGAATTGCCTCCAGAGGTGATGATTAGAGGATGTTTGTCTGTTAGCATCAACGTGCTTTGGGTGTTTAACAGGCGGTGTGTTGTTGCAGGAGCTGTCGGGTAAGGACCGGGAGAAGGTGGCTGAGGTGAGCCGGGTCAAGGTGGAGCTGCAGGAGCAGATTGGACATTTACAGGCAGAGAGGACAGCACAGACCGGACTCAGAGAGAAGATCAGTGCTCTGGAGAGAGAGCTAAAAGGTAGTTAATTTGAAGTTAATTAGTTTCCTTTTGTGTCTCTGTCTATCATTTTCTTTCAGTGCAAAGAAATTTGTCCAAGGAGATGTATTGATACCAGTAGCATGAGATCTGAATTATTTTCTGCAATGCTGTCTTTTATCTTTTATACTTTTTTTCTCAAATTCAATTTCAAAGTTTTATTGTTGCCAACGTATCAAAATACAAAAAGCAATGAACAACACCAAGATCAATATACATGTATAAATTATGTATATTATTTGCATGTGCGTGTGTCTGTGCATGTGTCTGTGTGTGTGTGTGTGTGTGTGTGTGTGTGTCTGTGTGTGTGTGTGTGTGTGTTTGTGTCGCAAAGTTTGTGGCATGTTGATATATACTGGGCAGATCTGCCCTGTCTCCTTTTCCTGGGTATCTTTTAAAATTTAGACACCATTTAGTTCATTGAAATTTTGAATGACAGAATTGAATTAGTTAAAGTAAATGTTCCTTATTTAGTTGAATCATTTACATTTTAAGAGGGAGTTCATCTCTATCTCATCCTCACCTGTGGAACGGTGACCATGTGTTCTTTTTTCTTTGTGTTGTCCTTGTTGGATTGCCAGTTTGTGGTCACTGAGCCTCGCTCAGGATCATCTCTGCCAGTTCATAATCTCTGTTTAGGAACAGATAACATTCTAATCTACTTTGTCTTTTAGTTTCCCACAGGTTTCTTTACATTGTGTTATAACATGGTTTACTCTGATTGGTCTTTGCAAAGCAGTGTTGTTGTGAGACTGGTCAGAGTGTGTTTGAGAGGGGGCAGGAGGGAGTCTGGATTTAAAAGATGTTTCTGTGACTTGCTGTCCCGCAGTACTGAGAGGTAACCACAGAGAGGCGCTCCTCGACAAAGAGAGTGAGATGTCTTCCATGCAGGAGAAGCTGCGGCTGAGGGAGGCGGAGATCCTGAGGATGAGGGAGGACGAGGCCAACAGAGCCAGCTACCTGCAGAGCGCCATCCTCACCTATGTTCAGGGCTCACCTCTGGGACAGTACAGCAGCCCCAAAAAATGACCCAGAGAGCTCAGCACAGTAGTTGTAACCTCTGACCCTCACTGGGATCCTGCACAGGTCAGGACAGTCTGCAGAATGAAAGAATCATAAGTGAAACAGAAGTATGGGAGATCATTGGTGCTGGGCAAGATGACTTTGAACTCAACAAAATGTGCAGATACAGCCAAAAAATAAGGTTTTAAAGACTTTAAAACTGTAACTCCCAGTTACTGCACCTCACCAGTGCTTTCGTTTGACCTGCTGTTGCAACATTGCTCTCATACTAGCTTCCCCTCTCTAGTTACACACATACTGAGTTTTAACAAGTAATTTAATCTTATTTTAAAACATTTTGTCCCAGTAAAGATGACAGTCTTGGTCGGCAAGTCAATACTGAAAATTTTAAAGGAAATTATCACAGTTTGAGTCTCATTTTCATTGTTTTATCTGTCATTTCTCTCTGTTTCTCTGTTATGATTAGATAGTTGTCACTAATAGCCAATAGTAATATATGAGATCTGAAATACAGTGAAAGCAAGAGAAAAGTTCATCCAGATGAACTAAACCACTTTATTTCACTGATAATCCCTCAATGTCAAAGTTGAAGCAGGAAGTGAGTCTGAAAATGTGATGGATATTTAGGATATTTAGCGGTGTATTGGCTGACCTGGGTCCAGACAGGTCCAGTGTTGTGCCCACTAATGACTGTTTCCATTGTTTGGAGGAACAAACTAGTCATAGGAATGTCATCTTCCTACATCGAAGGCTATATTAAATTTACTCAAGTTTGCAGTTCTCTTATCTACACCTCAGTCCTTAGCATAGCTTACCTAGAGTCTACAGCCAGCATGGTATTGGTACTGTGAGGCTGTTCTTTAAGTTAAATGCTAACATCAACATGCTAACATGCTCACAATGACAGTGCTAACATAACAAATATAATGCTTGTACAATGTTCACCATTTTAGTTTAGTATGTTAACATACTAACATGTGCTAGCAATAAACAGCATACAGCTGAGGCTGATGGGAATCAGTTTTACAGGTATCTGGTCATAAACCAAAGTAGTGAATAAAGTGGAAATTTGAACTGGTGATGACGCTAGATGAAAAGTCAGAGGATTATCAAAGTGATTATAATTTATCCTGAGAGGGGTGTGAACGTGTGGAGCAAATTTCATGTTAATGAATCTGATACATTTCCTTTAAAACCATAAATATCAACCTCATGACACTAGAGGAAGAGTCCGGGGATCATCATAGTCATTAGGGTACATCATCAAGAAACCATAAGTGTCTGCACCAGATTTCCTGGCAACTCATCCAACAGATATTTCAGTGTAGACCAAACTGTTGGAGCGAACAACAGACTGACATTGTCATCCCTAGAGCCACGCCACTAGCATGGCCAACCGACAATCACTGGCCTGACATCCATGACATCACTTCTTTACATTTTTAGATTTTTAAATAAATCTAGAAATTCAGGACTTCAGCACACACTGCTTTCATCTGTCGCCACCCTCAGGGCAAAATGTACATTTTACCCCCACTACTGTAGTTCAAAACAGTACGTTGTTTATTCAGTTCTTCTAGGTTGTGGGCTGTCATGAACACTTTTCTAAGCGTTAGACTTTTACCCTTTTTTGTTAGTTTTTAACAGATAGTTTGCCAGCCAGATGAGATTATTACCAGTTTCAAACAACACATTTTATCTCTCCTTGAGGTCCACTTTGTTTTTACTGACACATTAATGGAGCGATAGTCCAAATTCTGTTCCACGTGTATTTTTATTTCTCCTCTTTTCAATCATTCAATCAATCAACCAATCATTCAATCAGTCGAATCAAACTGTACTACACTAAAATGATAAAGTAAGAAGTGCTATTGCATCTAGCTTACAGTCTGTCTTATTTTAAAGAAATATTTTACTGCTTGAAATGAGACTAAACTGACATCCCTGTCTTAATGTTTTATTCTGTGCTCAGATCATCGCCAAAGAAAGCCCACTCTTACGTCTGTAGCTCTCGCATTAACTGAGATGAGCTTCAAATGAACTGCAAGTGATCATTTATATCTGTTGTCACTGTCCAGCTCCATTCTGCTGAACCCATCCTTTGTCTCCACCAACCTCAATCAATCAAAGGCAACGTTGCATTGTTAGAGTTTACATGCAAAATGAGATTTGGTTCAAATATGCCTTAATAGTGTATCTGTCAAACCAGACAGCTGCCCCCCCCCTTCACCCCCTCCACCCTTCAGTTCAGACTCAGAGAGCAGAAAAACGAGTCACAAAATGTTATCTGCTGTTTTTACAAATGGTATTTTCTCTTATAAGAGAAACTGCTGTTTTATATCTTGATATGTTTTCAAGATGTGTGATGGATATTTTATTTGTGTGTTTAAATGTGTTTTTACCATTTTGCTTTGTTTTTGATGACATGTGTTTTTATATCAGTAAAAGGATGTCGTCTCCGTAAAGAAGTCTTGTGATTTTTTCGGAATGTCTTAGTTATTGGCATTATTCTATATCACAGGGTACAGTGTTCAGAGTGTAGCGTGTTGGTGGGGTGGGGATGCATGAGGTCACTGGGTCTTGAAACTGCAGCCAAAGATCTTCAACTTTCAAGATACTTCACACACATTTCAACCCTGCCAAACCTTTGTCTGCTGCTCTGTTCAAACTGTTATATGGTTCAATCAAGACCTCATATAATCCATCCATCCATCCATTATCTATACCGCTTATCCTTATAGGGTCGCGGGAGGGGGGGGGGGGGGGGGGGGGGTTGACATTGGGTGAGCACCCTGACAGGTTGCTAGTCTATCGCAGAGCCCACACATAATCAATATCTTGAATTTTAATTAAAGTTATGCTATTTCAAACACAGAGACGAGCTTGGCAACAGAATACGTTATGACAAATTTTATTACACAACGGGGAGGAAAATAAAATCTGTTTAATTGAGATGTTAAGGAAGCAGGGATGCTGTTCCAGTGCAGTGATTAGCCTGTGATTAGGAAGTAAAAGAACAGCAGAGAAAATGAATTCAATTTTCAGCAAAATGAGATTTAGATGTTAAAGTTGGTGCATATTAAAGAGAAGCAGGAGTCTTGTTCAGTCTGTGAGCAGTGGAGAAGCCAACTGACTGGTTAAAGATTGAAGAGGCCTCCTGGGTTTATAGTCCTCAAAAAAATAAAAGTAGGCTATACATGCTAGTCAGAGTCATGAGATAATAACTTTTGACTTTGTACATGAGATATGTGTTATGAGATACTGAGATAATATACTATAACTATGACTTGACTATCTCTTACCAGTGTTTTTATTTTTTTATTCTTAACATTCCACCTATTTGTTTCTGTCTCGGCTGAAATGGGCTTTGGCTCTGTTGTTATTCAAGTTATTTATTGGCAGCATCACTTTTAGATACAAAGCTGGAAGTCGATGCAAAGCTAAAAGAATAGGGTAAATGTGTTGGTAGCAGTGGTAAACGAAGGCGGAAGTAGACGAAGTGAATCCTCTCTTCATCTGCCAGGATTCCTATTCAGCGATATGTCCCTTTAAACACGCTCGGCACTTTCCGGACTCGCTCGGCGTTGCTCGTCATCGTCCCCTTTCACTGCGGCTCCATCGCCGAGCGGACTGGCCCGCTGCTCTCATCCGAGACCTCAGCGCAGACTGTTGGATCTATTAAAGCACCATCGCCGGCTCCCTGAAAGCCTCCAGCTCGTGTCCAAATGCAGGCGATCAAATGCGTGGTGGTCGGCGACGGGTAAGCGCTTCAACACGCGGAGCACCAATTCATTTTCTCCCGTGTGGTTCAGTGATGCGTCCACGGACGGATGGATGATGGGAGGATGCTATGTAGGAAAAGGAGCTGGGGCTCACCGATCCGTCGGTCGCCCCGGTTTTCTGCGCTCTGCTCCCTGATGTTCGACAGATCTCCTCGATTGTGTGCTTTGTGGGCGCGTTCGGGTCGTTCCCGTCGTGCTCTTCGGTTCATTGTAATAGTGGGAGCGGTGCGCCTCGGGATGCTATGCGGGAACACCTACACGCCTCGCACTGCTCGCAGGCCACTGGAGGCAGGCTGAAGTGCTGATGCACGCTAAGGAATTTGTGGCCCTGTCAGTGGCAAACAGGCCCCGCTGCCCTAATTCTGCTCTGTGAGCCTTTTCTTACTGCATCCACAGCCCGTTCACCTCCGTGCACTGACATCTGTGGGTGGATTTAGTCACTGATGTCGTAAAATCATAATATCGTTGCTAGTTGCAGACTGAGATAAAAAAAAAAATGTGCTCTTACATTAAAGCCAGTTCTTAGATAAATTAAGAATAGGCCTCAGATTAAAGTCACATTCATATGATTAAAGTCAAAATGTTGGAATTAAACAATTTTGACTAAAATGCTGTTCTATGCAGAATTTTGACTCCTTTCTGGGATTAATCTCAGATCTCTGAGAAAAGTTTGTGACCTTAATCCTGCACTGTAGAGGAAATGATACTGTATTTCGCATATGTGCAGAAAAAGATTGTTAGGAATTGTCAAAGGTCATAAAAGAGCATTCTGCTGATTTTACACATTTAGCTCAGTTTAGTGGTTATGGGGAGTATCTCCTGCTCAGTTTAGAAGATTAACCCTGATGGTGACAGTTTGGGTTTGAAAAGATGTTTATAAGAGGAAGCAGGTGGAGTTTTGAAGATGTGTGTTACCAGGCAGAGAGAGTCTGAAGGTGTGGTCAGACTCAATGTGAAGAGAATTTTTGCTCTGTACAAATGTGTGTTTTTATAGTCATTTTCTGATCACCACGAGCTGTCATAGGACAGACTGTACTGACGCCATGTACTGTAGCTAGCCAGCTAGTGTGTGTGCGTGTGTGTGTGTGTGTGTGTGTGTGTGTGTGTGTGTGTGTGTGTGTGTGTGTGTGTGTGTGGAGTGCTCAGAGGAGTACAGATTTTCACCTGATGTCATTTGGACCATTTGACTTGTGGATTGTTTTTTCAGTTTGTCTTAATCCGCAGCAAACAGCACAGGTGTAACTGATGAAATGAAGGATGGCTGAATTCCATGCAGCTGCTTCAGTGTCAGGGTCCTGGTGTTGCTCCTGTTAGCCTACTGTCACACTGTCATGACTTACTGGGACACTTCTATAGAACAGAGCCATAGTTTATGTTAGCACCTGTGCTAGTAAGATAAGTCAAAATGTCGGCTTTGAAAAAGGCCACCAGCTGCATAGACACTAGCTCATGAATGTATTATAAGAACTGGTTGATGGACTCAAACATGGTGCCCATTCACTTGAATGAAAATTGCTCACAGAGTGCATGAGCCAAAAACATTTTTACCTTTCAGGGTTGCTTCAGCATAATGTGGCCCACTGCGCATGCTCATTAGTGTCTCTTCCACTGGCTCCGCCTTTGCATTCCAGCTCAATCTATAGACTTTACATTGTGCTGATGTCACACACATAAAGATTTTTTTCTAGGCTGTAAGAAAGTTATACATATACAAATATAGAACCTGCACTCATTCAAAATTGATAATACAAAGAGTAATTACTGACCGTGCAGTTGGAGGTGTGCTGCCTTCTCTTTTAAAATGGTGGTCTATGAGGAAAATGTATGTGGACACCATCTGAGTGTGTGTTTGTCTAACAGAAAGTCTCCGTTTTACTTGTCCCCACACATTCATGTATCAGATTCATATCATTAAAGATTGATATACTGTATATATCATATCAATATATATAACAATAGAGTTGGGATGAGTAATCTTGGAGGTCCGGGGGTTCTGGAAGTGAAAAGTTGTGGTCATGTCATAGACGGTGTTGGATGGACATGAAAAATTCCTGGTTGAATCGTCAGTACAAAAGATGCAGAACTGTGTTAGAAAATACATTTTAATAAAGAGTGTTTTCAGTAAGAAACATCAGATATTAGTTTCACATTCTTCTTTTTTGTGCAGCTAATGACAAGCAGGTTACACTTTCATACAGAACAGATACAGAACGCAATCTTAAATTCATTTGTTTTGGATGAATTCTGCATCTATGATGCAGTGTTTTGGTCCCACCTGCAAAGTGTTTTAAATTTTGCACCAGCACTGATTTGCACCAAAGTTACTCCCTCTCCATGGTAACGTCAACTGAGGCTGATGAGTATTGTAGTATGTAGAGCGTAGCATCATGACAAACTGATGGACAAAACATGAATAATTCAAACTGATAACTATAACATAAACATATAGCATTTTTATATCGAGGAATAGAGAAAGAATAAAGAATAGACAGTATCAAGTTGCATTGTGGGACGTTTAGGATATAGTGATTTTGGAGCTTGACCCAACATATGGACTGAAAGTCAGAATATAGCCTCCATAATCTCTCACTGATCACCTGACTTCATGGAGACATATGAATGCTAAATCACTAGAATACCTCTTTAATGAGATGAAGACCATATCATACTGGTCTTCTTCTTTACATAGAATTAAAAGAATGAATTGAACCTGTCAGTATCAGTAATTTTAACTCCTTCCCTCTTGTTATTTACTCATCCTCTATATTTCATAGGGAGCCACTGTGTCCCTCAGGCAATATGAATGTAGGCCAGTGTCTGTGTGGCACTCATGGAAAGAGAGCAGCAGCCTGCCTTTACACACACACACACAACCACACACACACACACACACACACACACACACACACACTCTCCTCCATACAATCTATACAGATCTAGTTTTTGTACACGAGTGTAGAGCTGTATTGAAACGTTGATGTCCCTCTTCCTCAGGGCTGTGGGTAAGACCTGTCTGCTGATTAGCTACACCACCAATGCCTTCCCTGGTGAATACATCCCCACTGTGTGAGTAACCCACACACTGCGCATGTTACACATTTATTTGATGTAAGCAGTGGTTTAATATTATAGGACCAGTCCTCTGACAACATGCTGTATACCATGAGATGATAGAAATGTCATCCATGAGTTAGAGTACCAGCCTGGTATACTCTGCTAGCACTCAATTTAACATCTCTAGATGTATTAGACCTTAGTGGGTATTACCGCAAACCAATAAACACGACTGATTGATGGTAATATTGTCTTTTAATAAGGGTTTTGCGTCAATGCTTTGGCCTGTTTGGTATTTCACTTGCTGGATTATACAAACATTATACAACAGACCATCTATAAACATAGAATTTTCAAGTTTATTCTCACCTGTTGGAAAAATAGTTTGACAAAACAAAAGAAATAACTCAGTGTTGACTTGCTAGCTTTGTGTTGAAATTTCAACCACATTTTATGGTCTTCCTCAGCTAAGTTGTCATGCAAATAGTTCAGTTGTTGACCTAAGTATGAATCTGTGATCACATCATAACTGATTTAAAGGAGCTATTTGTAAGTTTTGCTATTGCTACATAGCTAACGTTAGCATTAGCAACTATTTAGTTACCAGTCTAGAAGCAAAGTTTGTGAGTTCAGCGTCAAACTTCATTCATTTACTCAACAATAGCTGTCTCCAGATGTAGAAAGAAACACCAATGTTAACTCTTGTTTCTATCACATCTTTTCGTCCTCTAAAGTTAGCATGCTAACCAGCTAGCCCCAACTCACAACTCACTGTAGCTGCTCAGAGGACGTATTATAACCTCTTGTCTTGTTTACGCAATGTTGGCCGAAGCTCTTGTCAAGCAGCGACCACCACCACCCACTACTGACAAGAAATCACATTCAGCCGCAGAGAAAACTTACAAATAACTCCTTTAAGATTTTTTTGTCAAACTACTGTATGTACAAATAGAAAATGTAGGCTACTATATCATTATATATATTCTGAAATTTCCATAGTTGGCAGCACAATAAGCTCCAGTGATTTTATTGTATCGCAGAGGTGTTTTTCAAGTGTTATTTGCCATCTTACCAAGTGTTAGATGAGAGGATTGACACCCTTGTCTTATCTGCGCAGTAAATATGAAGCCAACCCCAGCAAGCAGTTAGTTTAGCTTAGCATAGGCTAAGCTAAGACGGAAAGCAGAGGGAAACAGCTAGCCTGACTCTGTCCCCAGTACCTCTAAAGCTCATCAATTAAGAATGTTAATGTTAAGAATGTACAAGTTGTGGTCTTACTGTGGGTTAATGTTTTGGACTATTTCTTGGCTGGGATCAGTAACTGGAGAAATGTAGAGGTATCTGTGCTTTGGCACATGTGAAACCACAACTTGTTGTTTTTACACTTCAGTTTTACAGATGTAACATGTTCATTTTTTAGCCTTAGAGGTGTTGGTAGGTATTTTGTAACAGTCAGGTTTACAGTTACTTCCTGTTTCAGGTCTTTATGCTAAGCTAAGCTAAGGTAACCCTCTATTGGTGTATGGTTGTATTTACAGAGCAGTTATGAGACTGATCAATCTTCTCATCTAAGGCTAAGTATTTCCCAAAATATTGAACTAATGCTTTACATTGACTATACCACCTGGTGGCAATGTATGACAATTTACACCATTGAAAGTCAAAAGGTACTGAGGTCATCACACACTATTATTAGTATAATGATAAGTATAAAACCCCTTGTTAAAGGCTGGCTTCTAGTCAGTGTGGTTTAGAATGAGGTGTTCTTACTCCCGACTCAATTCCAACAAAATCAACTATGTGTATGCACCGCGTCCCGTCACTGCATTTTACTCAGTGTGATATCCCTCTCGCAGCTTTGACAACTACTCTGCCAATGTGATGGTGGATGGGAAACCAGTGAATCTGGGCCTTTGGGATACAGCAGGACAGGAGGACTACGATAGGCTCAGACCACTGTCTTACCCACAGACGGTATTCATACTCATTCCCCCCAACCACACGAGCACACACACACACACACACACACACACACACACACACACACACACACATACACACACATACATACACATACACATATACACACACACATACATACACACACACACACACACACGTGCAGAGAGACTCGTGCACTCTTACCTACATGCTCTGAAACAGATTTGCAATGTAAACGAGTGGAGATTGACACATTGCTACTTTATGATTTGCTGCACCAAACAAACTAGTTCTTACTCAGAAATCCATAGTTACTGAATGTTTCCACCAAATAACTGACAACTATGTATCTATGCATAGATTGAAGAGTAAAGGACATGAAATGTATTATGGTGGACGTATATACAATCATGTAAACAGTGTCAACAATAACTGTAATTAATATAATAACACTTTTTACCTCAAATTACAAAATATTATACATATAATGTTAGATTTAATCAACAAATAATATTGGTTAAGTATGGTTAGATAGTTCCCTTTAATTCTAAATTACCTGATTACTACCAACTATGAAACATACATTTCTCAATCTATATAATTGAAACAGTCATACCTACATTAAAGTAAGATAAAAGATTTGTTGTTATACTAAAGAGAAAAGTTTCAATTTGTGTAGTTACAACAAGAAAACTCTGTTATTATAACATGAAATTATATGTTACTGTTATAATGTGAGATCCTTCAAATTTAAAAAAAAATTATTAATTAGTCACTCTTAATTGTTTAGTAGTTTGAGAGCAGCCCTTAAATAAAGAAGTATTAGTGTCTATCAAGAAAAAATAAGCTTATTTCTGTGGCTTAACACACACACACACACACACACACACACACACACACACGCTCAAGCACACACACAGATCTTGATCTCAACTAGCCATCTCTCTGGTTCTCTCCCAGGATGTGTTCTTGATATGCTTCTCCCTGGTCAGTCCGGCCTCCTTTGAGAACGTCCGAGCTAAGGTCAGTACGCTGACTGACCCCCCCAACCCCCCACCCCCTTATCCCCTCCACGCCGAGTCTGACCACAAGGAGGCACATCTATGGCTCCACCTGGTTTATCACACTGCTGCCCCACCTGTCCAGACCTTGGCTTACAACGCTCTGGATTTGAACTCACACCCCCCCCGGGGGATGTGTTACAGAGACACGTTGTAAGACGAGGGCTGAACGAGTCCAGACACTCTGCAGAGGGAGGGGGGCGGCCAGCTGTGGTTTGGTCTGCTGAGCATCATGAGACGCTCTCATATGAAATCACACTTTGCTTATGGTCTGACCTCGCTCTGTAGAGTCAGTGCTTCTGGTTCTCTCATCATGTGATGTGAAGTGATTGGAGGTTGCTCTGCCTGAGGATGTTTTGTGTTCACACAGCTACACTTCCTTTCAGACTGATGTATTAAAAACTGTTTTTCTATTTTCACAACTCACAGAGTCTGTTGAATGTCATCATGGAAAGGCCTCGTCGCTCTCCCTCTGTATCAAGCTAACTGTTCTCTTTCTCCTCTCTCATTGACTTTGTCCTTCGTATATACATATGTACGCTTGTGTGTATGTGTGTGTGGTGCCCCAGTGGTACCCTGAGGTGAGACACCATTGCCCCAACACACCCATCATCCTGGTGGGCACTAAGCTGGATTTGCGAGATGACAAGGACACCATTGAGAGGCTGCGAGACAAGAAGCTCTCCCCCATCACCTACCCGCAGGGCCTGGCCATGGCGAGAGAGATTGGTAAGGCTGAGTGTGGCATGTGCACAGCTGGATATGGTTTGCATGATGATTCAGTCATTTATTGCCATTTATTTAGCTTCAAATGGTGAGTGGTTTATATAATGTAGCCTTGTGATAAGTGAGGTCAAATACAGGGAGGAAGTTATTATTTCAAATCAGGTCAAACGGTGAATCAGGAACGTTCTTATTGTGAAGCTGCCAGAGATTTGCTGCAGTCACATTTCAGCCAAGTTTGATGGAGGGAGCTCACTCAGTAAACAGAACTGGAGGCAGAGGCCAGGATGTCACGTTACATTTTTTACTGCAGGTATTTTTTACTGAAGAGACCTCAAATCAAAGATTAAAAAAATAAATTAAAATTAAAAAAGAATTTTGAAATCAATGGAAATGTCAAATTTCAATGGAAATGTAAATCAGTGAGCTTTAGAAATGTTGGACATAGAGCCAGGCTTCCAGGCTGTATGCTAAGCTAATGCTAACCACATCTTGAATCCAGCTCTGTTAGCAAAAGAATCAAGGGGAACTTTGCTAAAAACCAAACATAAAATGAAATCACTGACCTAAACTCCCCACGATAGCTTCTTTGTTCAAACCTTTATGTGTATTTTACATACAGTATACCTTGCGTTACTGTTGCCATGGTGGGGTGAAAAACCTGCTGAAACTACATCACAGTGCCTCCCTGGTCTGTCTCAATGCAATGAATCATATCAAGGTTGGGTCTCTTCATAAATGCATTCATGTTGTTGCACTAGTTAAACACCTCTGCACACCTGGCCAATTGCTGTGTGCTTGCACAAAACACCTTAAGGTTGAATTTCTCCTTAGCTGAGGGTGCTGCACAGAATCTATTAAAAAGTTTATCTAGTTAAGGAGAAATGTTAAGGCATTTACAGCAATGAAAGAGATTTTACAGTGCTAAAGTTCTACAGTTTCCATGGAGACCATTTGTTTGCTGGCATTTGCACTTGTGATACCGGTTATCATCTCACCTGTAATTGCCTCAAAAAGTTGGCCTGTAGAAAAAAATGGTAACAGAAAAGAAGGCAAGAAAACCAAACTGACGGTCAGACAAATCATACATTGACTGCTAATCAATTCTATAGTGTAAAATCAATTACTCATTCATTGAATGAGGGTGTTCATCGGAAAAACTCATGGGATGTGTTCATGCTCTTCATTTATCGCCATAAATTCAGCCAAGTTGCAGTTAAGATACACTCAGAGGTACCTTAAGTTTTTTTCCTTAGTTTGATCTCTAAGGTCGTCAGTAGCTTAACTGACTTTAAGTGATTCCCTTCAGTATGAGACTAAGATAAGAAGAAAACCTTGAATACTTAAGTGGACATTTTAAGGAAACCTTAAGGAGAAGAGTTAACACACACTTCATGTGAAGTATACTGAGACCCTAAGGTTGACAACATATCTGCTGCTTCTTAACTGTCTCCATTTGAATATTCCTGAGCCCTTGCTACACTTAAGCCCTGGAAGCAGTGTTACTAAGAACTGTGTTTCCCATCATGCCCTCTTCCTGGTCCTCAGGGGCTGTGAAGTACCTGGAGTGCTCCGCGCTCACCCAGCGAGGCCTGAAGACGGTATTCGACGAGGCCATCCGAGCCGTGCTCTGCCCTCCGCCAGTGAAGAAGAGGGGGAAAAGGTGCACCATGTTCTGAGGAGGAAACACTGCTATAACACTACACTGCATCACCATGAACAACAACCACTACTTCTCTGAGAGGATGGGAGAAAACTAGTGAGAGTGAGTGTGCACTGCTGAGATTGCTTTCTTTATATTGATGTTTTTTCAAAGCGATATTGGTAACAAGGCCAATATTTACTCTGATTTTTTTTACCATTACTGAATAGTTCATAGGTTCTGAAAGACATTGACTGTCCACCTACTTTGTACTCATAGAACCACATCAAGTTGCCATGAGGGCTGACAAAGGTTTCTATTACTCGTCTTCATACTGTAACATCTCTTCTTTCTCAGCCATGCTTGCTTGAATTAATGCAGTGTTGACTAGATAGGAAGTGAACTATGAATACGCCTTCAGGTCGGAAGTTACCCTTAGCTTCTGATCTAAGATCAGCATTTCAAAACAAAATACTACTGCCTGCATTTATAGAATTTCACATACTGAGTGTAAAATAGAGATAGTGTGGTTCCTCCACAAGAAAAGAGAACAATATGTTGAAGGGGAATTCTGATTATTACAACAAAGCCTCAGGTTGTTGTCGTAGCCATTGTTTCTGTTGGCTTTGTTAGCATTGTGCTTACCAAATCAAATTGCTGAGACACCCCCCCCCACCCCCCCACCCCCCCAAAAAAGGGCCTTAAGGTGGCTTCATTACCTGATTTCGACGCTTTGTCTTTGTCAACATCTAGGGTCAAGACCTTCATTATGTTCCATATTAAATCAAATTACCACACAGAAACTCTGGCACCAGGTAGTGTTATAGGCTAGAGCAGGCTCAGTGGGGCCCAGCCTGTTAGACTATTAGCCTAGCAGGTGAAGCTGCCCATGGTCAACTGGAACAACTGTGTGACTGCTCATGTTTCTTGCCCTATTGGACATTTCAGCAAATAGTTTTGATGAGTACAAAGTTGTTAGAATTTTAGAAATGAGGGATATAACTGAAAATATCTACGACTGAAAGGATTAAATGGACGAGACCTATAATATTGAAACAGCAACCCAAAGTTAGAGCAGAAACTTTTAACCGCAGTGACTTTAAACTAATCACACATATTTGCTTTTCTCTTTGAGCCTTGCACACATTTGTAAAGGCTCATTCTTAACCATTTGAATACTACTGTCATCATAAGGTCATCAGTTTACTCAGGTGAAGACTGAGAGATGAGGCTGAAAAATGATATTTACAAGTTTAAGAATTAATATTCAAGCTCAAATGTTAAAAGTAGTTTAATAAAACAATCTTAACTCAAGATCCACTTACAATCTTTTTCATGAGTTTTTTTATCGCATCCCATGGTCTTCATCAACAAAGACTGTGAGACATTGAGGACTTATCTAGGTTGGTCACTCGGCCGTCTTTGCTAATGAAGCCCATGAGTTGTGGTTAAAAGCTGGGTGGAAAAGGTGTATCCAGTCTTTTTTTTTAACACCTGTGTTCTTACTTTCAACAGAAATCTGATCTTAGTCAAGTGTCTTTGGGTAACTTTATCTAACTGTGAACACGTGACAGACGAGCATGCCAAACATGGGGGCTGTACAACCTTGCTGCCTGAGTTCTGCCTCTGGGGGTGGAGGAGCTTGCATGGGTCTTAAAATATTCTGTCTTAATTTATCCCATTGTTTAGATCTTGTCTCTGTTCCTCTGTGTGTGTGTTTGTGTGTGCGTGTGTGCGTGTGCGTGTGTGCGTGTGTGTTTGAGTGAGTGTTTGTCACAGGCGTGTATATGAACGCTGGTGTTTGTGTGTTTGAACAAGCACGTGTCGGTATCAGTGAGACGGTGTTGTTTGACAGTTTGGGATAGTGCATAAAAGACAGTATTGTTTTAAGCCAAGTTTTTAGTGTCCAGTTTTTGGTACTATTTCATATTGTATTGTAGAAATACACAAGACTTTTCAACACTCTGTGGACATAAAGAAAGAAAAAATGGGTATCAATGACATCTAGTGATGTACAGAATAATCCTTAGAAAAGGAATGCGTTATGAATATCTATCTACATGTACCTGAATATTTAGCTCTTAAAACTAAAACAATTCAAACTAAAGGGATTATAGTTGCTCATGTCGAAGTTAGAAGTGTTGCTAACAGTGTACAATAAAGGGGCTAATCTTTGTGGAGTTTGTCACGGTGGCAAACGGCGCAGATTGCACCTTTATGACATGCATTTCTGTATGGTTGCAGGCCTGCAAGTGTGTTTGTCTCCCCCGTGTGGCGAGACACAGCACTGCAGTCCACTCTGTCACGCTGTCTTTGGTTGGCATAGCAAACTGTGTGGTTGAAACATGTCATGTGGTCCTGCCTAGCTAAGGTGTTGAAATGTAGCTGAGAAATACAGCAAAAAATTCTACTCTACTATTGCATGGAAGTTCTCTGGTTATTTGCCCCACTGTAATTCTTAGGAGAGGTTGTATGATGAAATGCATTGGCAATGTACGTATGTAATGTAAGATGACTTGTATACTTGTTTTAACTGTTTGTCTTATTTTTTATTACTTCACGTTTGTGTGGTGAAATATTTCAATTTTTTGTATACTAAATACAAATGTATATGTAAAGTACTCTGCTGTCTGTCATGACTTAGTCTCCTCCTTTTCTTTCTCTTTATTCCACAACAACCACATATACATATATATGTATATATACATATATATATAAACATATATATATATGCACATAGTTAAGTGAGCAGTGGAATTCCCATACGGAAATGACATATGACATATATATCTCTTTATCAGGAGCAATGTTGCCATATCTTACCTATCAGGGGGCATATATTATTATCACATAAATAGATCCTCTGGATATATGAAGATATAGGTTTATAACATATATGAAATACCCATAGTAACATTTGTATATGTACATATATTAAAAAAATATCTATATGATGAGACGACTTTAGCTTTGTGGCATGGAGCATGATCCTGCGGGAAGTCGCCATTAGAAGATGTTAAACTGTGGTCGGACTTGGTGAGCAACAAGACTCAGATACACTGAGACACTCAGACCATGATTGATTGGTGTTAAGAAGAAAACATTCGCCATACCATCACACCACCATCACCAGCCTGGACCCTTGACACCAGGCAGGGTGGTCCATGGTTTCAGACTCTGACTCTACCATCTGCTGCCTCAGCACAAATGCAGATCCATCAGACCAGGTCTTCAGCTGTCCAGTGTTGGTGAGTCTGTGTCCACTGCAGTCTCTGATTATGTAAGTTTGTACACACTCACATAATCAATGAAGCAGATACAGGTCAGAGGCTTCAGTTAATGAGACAAACTCCAATTGTATTAAACCAAATTAAGTCTGGAATGGCTTCCTTTGTTTTAGTTAAGTACAATATCTGGCAATAATAATAGACCAAAATCTAAAGCTATAATTCAGCTGGTGACTCATTCATTAGAATTATATCATGCATGTAAAGCAATATAAATCTCTATAAAGGTTGTTTCTAACCTCATCTGCAAACATATTAAGCCCTGTGTACTGTATGATTCGTATTTTAACCTGACATATTCATATAAGCACAAATGACACAGGAACTCAGTTGGTTGAACAGTGGATGAATTTATTTAGAAAATAAAAATTGACTGTGTGTGTAATGCAGTGAGGTGATGAGACAGGTTCTTGTTTCTCCTCTGAGCGGGGGGGGGGGGTGTCTCATGGTGGTCAGCATGCCAGAAAGCCCCCGTCCACCGGCAGAGTGACTCCATTCGTCATGTTGCTCTTATCGCTCAGCAGGAATAAAATACTGTTGACCACGTCCTCCACCTCTGCACAAACACACAGAAGCTCAGTTAATAATTTCATCAAGTGCGTATGTGCACTGTGTGATTGTAGCACTGGAGAGGAAACAGACTGCCTTCCATATCCAAGGACTTGTAAAGTGTAATAGCACACAAATATTTTGTTTATTCCCATGCTGATAAAAAGAGTAGACTTAGATTGGATTCCACTCTTTGCTTACACCTCAAGATGCTGACTGTGAAAACCATGAACTGATGATGAGCCTCAGCCTCGGTGGAGTCCAACACTGTCCATGAACTTTCTACACTTCACTGCAGAGAAAATGTGGACACAGTTCTCGCTCCGGTTAGAACAGGACATATAAGCACAAACACATATAGACTGCATGGGCAGGCAAGGGTGAACAGCTGCTCCATTGTTCCACTACCAGGGTGGAATCCACATTCCTGAATGTGAATCAACCTTTTCAGCTCCCTGGTATGAAGTGTGTGAGGAGGCTGAGCAGTGGGAACACACCATCCATGCCTCTTTTTTTTTTTTTTTTTAAAGCAGACAACCTAAATGTTAAGAAAAGCTCAACATCATGGGAAACATTTCTTCTCTTTCATTATGAGAGTGAGATAAATTGATACCAGTCTCATGTCTGTGTATTTAAACTGCATTTTTTTCACCACTTAGGGGCAGCAAACACAAGCCGTCAACACTACTCCACATATTGTCACCATATAAAGTTGTTTGAGTTTGATATCCATCTTCTCATCCAACTCTTGACATGAAGGTGTATTTCCCAAAATGTTGGAATATTCCTTAAAGATGTGCAGATATGAACCAGATGAACGTGTGACCAGTCTAGCATTTCACCTGCCTCTCACCTTATGCATGCTGGGATAGTCTCAGCACCCTGCGACCCTGCAGTGCATTCAGAAAGTATTAAGACCCCTTCACTTATTTTGTTTTGTTTTGTTGCAGCCTCATGCAAAAACTATTTAAACTAATTTTTTCCCTCATCACTTTACAGTCAATACACCCTAAAGACACGTACCTGTCTCTTTAAGGTCTCCCCATCCAACCTGACAGAGCTTGAGAGGAGCTGCAGAGAAGAACAGCAGAAAAAAATCCCCAAATCCAAGAGGCTTCAACTAAGTACTGAGTGAAGGGTCTGAATACTTCTGTCAATGTTATTCAGTTTCTCCTTTTTAATACACCTGCAAAAATTCCAAAATTCTGTTTAGGTTATGTCATAATGGGGTACTGAGTATAGACTGATGAGGGGAAAAAATGAACTGATTTCATAACAAAATGTGAAAAAGTCGATGGGGTCTGAATATTTTCTGAATGCACTGTAGGAACCCTGCAGCTTTAAGATGTACACAAAGACAGCTGATCTCATCTTACATGTCACTGTACAAGAGGGAATCTGTGCATTTGCCCCAGACAACCACAGTCATCTGCAGCATCCTGCTGAACTTGAGGTCAACAGAATGTCTATAATGTATACAGAGCCTGCTGAGTCTGACCTGCGAAGCGGCCCAGGGGGATGCGGGATGTCATGATCTTGGCTTTTATGGGGTCGCTCCAACCCACACGACCCATCTCAGTCATCACCACTGTGGGGTTCACACTGTTCACACGGATCTGAGCACATCACAACACAACAAGGTATTAAATCCCAGCAGAAACAATGAGGTGAATTTAATCTATTTAATATTCAATTCTATAAAACCCCTTCACTGTATTGTCATCATCATTCAGAGTATTACTGTTAGCAGTGGTACTGGCAGCAATGATCATAGTGGAGTGGCTTTGGTAAGACAATATATCATATTGATCATCTTTATTGATTCCGAATATATGAAATATACAGGTGAGATGCATAAAAACATAATCAAGTATTATGTGATCGTAACAACAATAAAATGTGTCATAATTGTCATAAAATGAATAGCAGTTTGTGTTGGATTGCATTATAATACATGGGGGCTCCTATTTTTCTTGTCAGGGAATGAATATAAACTAGCCCACTGTTAGACCTAATGACCTATTGTAGGGTACCAGGATCATATTTAGGAACTGATTAACTTCATCTGTTCTCATTGGAGAATCAATAGGGTCTAAAAATATCCTCTGAGGATGGTTCTTTACAGACACATCTTAGACGTCTGGGTAGTATTGAGGGATCAGGGTGGGGGTTACAATCTCAAAACATGGTGTTTTGCAGCTCTTTGTATTAATGTTGAGGTGAACCATCATAGAGCCACGCAAGAGATTTTATGACCAAAGTTTACGTGTTTCCAAGATCTTGTGACATCACTGATCCCATCCATTTTACATGCTGGTCATCTAGCCCTCCAAATGGAGCATTTTCAGATTCAAACTCCAAATGAAAAAAAAAATCTCAGAATGCTTTGCAAAACAAGTGACAAGTGGTGTCCCAAAGATTTCACAGCCTACCTCTGTAGCTCCATTCTGAAGGGCCACTACCCAGTCAAGGGCACTCCAAAACTATGAGTAGGGCCATGGGAGGGGATTGGGATTGAGCCACTGATTAGACGAGTGCTAAGTGCGGTCAGAGCTGAAGCAGACTAGAGAGGGCAGTGAAATGCTGCTGTTTAGCCTGCTGCCGACATCCTCTGGGAATTTGAGAACCTCCGGCAGTGCTGAGTTAGGTTCAAATAAACTGGAAAACATCAAGGACCACAACAGTAGAAGTGGCTCCAATACCTGCTGGTTCAGTTGTTTGGACATGATGCTGGGACACAGATCCAGCCGAGCAGCAACTAAAGATTTAGCTACTGCTTTGTCATGAAGCAATGCAGTCTGCACTCTTGCTAATTACTAAATGTGAAATGCTGGTATTGAAAGGTATTGATGCTATAGTTATGAAAAACAAAAGCTTCATGCTAACAGCTTAGAAAAATGCTCTTTGTTTTTAACACTGCTTTTCAAAATGTTTGGGTTGTGGAAAAGACAAATGTCCAACATGACAGCACATGACAGAACATTATCATAATCAGATTTCAGTTGGACTTTGGGTCAAAAAGGGGCTTCAGAGTGATGGTACCTGGTGGGGTCCGAGCTCCAGAGACATCACTTTAGTCAGCATATCCAGGGCTGCTTTAGTGGCGCCTGAACAGTGACAGGGACACAGAGACAGAAACAACAGAAACAGTTTCCAGTTACTGTCATTCAACTTCTTCCCTGCAGTGTACTTGAGGACAGGACATGTTACCCAGCCTGGCTCCGGGTCATTGTTGGCACATGGCTGTTCCTCTCTTACTCACAGTAGACAGCATGGTCTCTCAGGGCACACTGTGAGGCCTGGCTGGACACGTTGACAATGGAGCCTCCTGATCCTCTGGCCTTCATACCACGAGCCACTATCTACCCACACAGACAGAGGATTGATTTGATTGTGGAGAAGCAGTTTGATGAGGCAGATATTTGCATTGAGACTAATGGTGTTATCAAAACAACCAATCAATCAAACTTTATTTGTATAGCATTTTTCATACAGATTAGTGCAGTTCAAAGTGCTTCACAGACTGATGAGCTAAAAAGAAAAGGACAAATCAAGTAAGACAGCTGAAAATGATTTACAATAAAATAGATTTTAAAAGCTGCAATAACATTAGCAAACCAAAAAAGAAAACATAAGCAAATCAATGGTAAAACAGCAGATAAAATAGAATAAAATACAATGATAAAAGAATAGAATAAAATATAATAAAGTAGAATTTAGAACATAAATACAGTAAAATAAGAGAATGAAATAAAGTGACTAATAACTAAAAAACAAAATAATAACGAAAAAAGCCAGATTGAAGAGTTGTGTTTTGAGTTTCGGTTTGAAAATTTAAATTCTTCCAGCTGCTCTCAGGTCCTCGGGGAGACTGCTCCATCGGCTCGGAGCATAAAAGCTGAAAGCTGCCTCACTGAAGGATTAAGTCCTGCACTTCAGAACAACTAACAGACTTGGGCCAGAGGACCTGGCCCAAATCACAAGAAAAATACCACCCTCACATTCTCTTATCCAGTTAGAGCTTATCTATTTGACATGTTCAGGCATGATAGGACAGCAAGTATATAAGCTTTGTTGTACATATGTACTTTCTTGTAATTAAGTCACTGATCACTGATTTCTGAAATGTATATTTTCCAGATTTGTGACAGGGCTCAGATCATCAGGTGAAGCAGAGATATCGAGCTATGTGTCACCTTCATAGCAGTGGATACAGTTTCCATATTTGCAAATGAAAGACTGTAATGGCAGCATGTTCAAAACAGAAAAGAATAGGGCCCAGAACTGAACCTTGAGGCACACCACTAGAAATATAGTGCTAACTCTTAAGAACTTCCTTAACACTTGACTTGTTTGATAAGATCACAACCAGTGCCAAAGAGCCCAGTCTATGTTTTATTTTGAGATCAACTGTATTGAATGCAGCACTTCCTACCATTGCAGCCTAACTGTCTACTACAACAAACCAGTCGTTTTCCAACCAGTCATTCCGTGGTAATCAGTTGGGAAACAGTTGGGAATCTACTTCATCATGTAAGGCCTAGCCATCCCTTCAAACATTGCTGCTTAAAGTTCTTATTCTTTATGACTTTGAGGAGGGGCTTCTTAGTTCTGACTGTTTTCAAATATACAATTGAAGGCATTAAAATCTGACAGCTGAGGGTAAACAAATTTAAGTAAAGTCTTTAAGTACAGTACAGTTGGAAATTAGACTTGAACTACATTGTAGCTGGGAAAAACTAGATATCATGTTGTTACTTCATCTACTGAAAGAGCAAACTAAAAAATGGATCCAGCAATGCAAAGTGTAGTGATATGATTTGTCTTTTACAGAGCTGTTACTTTACCTGGGACACATGCAGCACAGCTTTCACATTCACATTGAATGACCTGCAGATGAAAAACACCTTAGATAATAAACACAACAGGTTTCCACATGATGAAACTGTAAATCCTGACTCATATGTTCGACATTGTGCTTCTCAATCTTAAAGTATCTCATATTTGTCTCACTGGTCGAACTGGTCGGGTGTGACCTCCAGAAACGGCTGCAGGCTGGCACAGGCGGCATTATTCACCAACAGATCGATGGGGCCGACGCCCTGCAGGGCTGCCTCTGTGGCCCCCCAGTCTGCCAGGTCCACACACACCGGGGTGATGGATGCACACTGAGAGGGGGAGCCGAAACCAGACATGTTGGATAAGTATTAGATGAAGTAGAAATTTGTAAATGTAATTAGCTTCTATATTATCCTTTGACAAACAACCAGTACTGATGAATTCTACAGTGATCTGTGACAGTATCTACAGACTGTAATCACTGTAGAATTACAAACAAAATTATATCCTGTTGGTACAAAACAGTACATCTGTTGTTTTTTTTGTTATACTGACTCACTAAAATAGTCTACTATGAAAATCATCATAAACCATACACTGTAGTATCTAATATGTAATCAGGACACAGTTCCAGTGTTCTCCTCAGAGGAAGAAACAAACCACTTCAGAGTAAAATCCATAAATGTGCTGATCTATCCAGAAAGAGGCTTAAATGTCTGGTGTTCTCATTTCATTCCACTCTCATGCTTTTGATATCCAGCTCCACAAATTGCTTCAATATACAATACAGTATTTCTGTTGATCTGATGATTTTCAAAACCTTCATCTCCTTTTCTTTTACCTTTTGAAATTATTATACAAAATATTTTCATTTCCTCTTTTTTCAATAATTTATAAATTCCCTTGTTATTTAAAAATAAAAAGATGATTGCAAAACTGCACAGAGTTGCTTCCTGACATATTCATCTCATATCAGAGTTCCTTTAATCACCAGTTTCCAGCATCAGCATCCAAGTCCGACTGGCATATGGAATGCTAATATGGATACTTCATGTCAGTCAAAGTCAGTTCCTCATTCCACTTCATCTTGTGAAGATGAAGACGAAGAGGAGGATGATGTAAGAACGGAGAAGTGTGGTGGAGAGTACTGTAGACACCTTAGAGGATAATGAGTGGAGAGATGGAGTGGGGGCTCAGTAGGACAGATAAAACAGAGAAGGGTGTGGGGAGACCAGAGGTCAGGGACAGAGGCCTCTCAGTTGTGTGTGTGCAGGGGGGGGGGGCGTACCTCCTCCATTAGACTGCTCAGGTCAGCCTGTGTGCGTGTGACCGCCGTGACCTCTGCCCCACAGCGTGCCAGGGCCAGAGCTGTGGCTCTGCCAATCCCTGAGACACAAAACATCCATAAACACAAAGACTTATTACAGAGTGGAGCTGCTGCTGTGACACCAGAGCTGACACACACTCACACACACACATTCCACACATGTCTCAGGCTTTGCCAAACTGCCCTCCATGAACAAAGCTTTTTTATTCCATTTTCTCAGTGTGTTGGAGCTGACGAGACTCTGAGTCAATTCATCCAATACGCTGAGCAGTTCACATGCTGTTTTACCATCATCATCACCTCAGCTTTTATCAGCAGTATACAAACATTCAATAAATGGTATGTTTAAGAAACATAGAACACAGTCTTTATTCATCTACACCAATTATATCTTCTATGAAGACATGTTTTATATTATTCCAGCTGTGTTTTACTAGATTGTCCTTCATTATCTGTTTATACAGCAGCCTCCACTTTCATGTGCCCACAGGAGGGGTTGGATTTGTCAGCAAATATATTAATAAACAAATAACTTGATAATGTATGCTTATAAATGCCAAATATCAGGACTTAAAAAATAAAGCATTACCTTGTTACCAAGTCTGACGTGTGGAACACAACAAGTCATGAGATTTTTTATCAAAAGAATAAACTCTGCTGTCTTTTGTTTCTATTTGACTCCCTGCAGTTTTAATCTCATCAGAATTAGAGCTGTGTCACCTATTTTTTTCCAGACAATAATGTGCCCATAGCACCAAGTATCACAAACTATCAACTATTAAAATGTGACATGTCTTTAAAATTTTGCAGATTGTATACTACTTTATTTACAGCTGCTTGTGTTTAAACATTTAACACTTAACTCTTCTGTTGAATTAAAAAAAGATTTTCATTGAAAAACATCTTCATATTTGAAGTTAAAGTATCAGCAGGTATTACATTGGCCTTAATCGTGACTGCACTCGACGGAAGCTGCATGTGACACTTACATAGTGTGAAATTTAAAATAAAGCTGTATGGGTTTCGACTATGTTTGACTGCACAACAGGAGTTTGTAACGATGAACGTGAAGACCCTGTTGGTCCAGGCCCATAGCTGGACACTGAGGTCCTGCCCTCACTTTCTGTGTGGATTTTAAAGACCTAAAGACTTTACATTCCACAATTATAAACATTTAAAGGTATTTTTCTTCTATTCTATAGAGTCAATACGATAAACAAAAATCAACTGATATTGCTGGGATGTAAGGAGGTAAAATAAAGTCAACAGTTTTATGAATATAATATCTGAAGAACAACATGGAGGAATGTGGGCTCATTTATTCTGAAGTCACAGCCGCTGTGTCTTGCAGACCTGCAGACCTGCGATTTCTACAGCAGCCTGCAGGTGTCAGTGTGCGCACTGGAAACGTGCTGTGTCTATTTGCGTCCATTGTTATCTTTACCTTTTCCTGCTCCGGTGACCAGAGCTCGTTTACCCGCAAATGAAATCTCCATGGTCGGTGCTGTCCGCAGAGATCAGCCGCAGATTGACATGCAACAGGACAGATAACAGTTACAGAAGAAACACAAGGCGATCAGTCATGTGACTCGCTCATGTCTATGCTGATCGGGCTAAAACCCAGCTGCTACTTCCTGATCTCCTAAATCTTCCAAACGTTTCCCCGCATCCCGATACCGTTTCAGACCGTATGGTTTGTGGTTGTAGTCACAGCGTGGCAGTACTCACCAAGAGCAGCAGCAGCAGCAGCAGCAGCAGCGGCAGCAGGAGGAAGCTGACTCTCTGTTCCGCTGGGCTCAAAGATTAAACTTCCACTGAGTTAATGGTCAAAACATGTTTGTCTTCCAGGTCAGTCCTGCACAGTCACCGTGAACACGCACACACCTCCGCCTGTGTATGTTAAAGGCAGAACTTGCAGTCTTTTCTCACCTCTATCAAAATTGCAGTTTTGGTTCTATTTGGTTTCCAGATATCTGTCTGAGATTTCTGCCTCCACCCCAACAGACTGGAGGCAAGTAGAACTTCGTTTTCACTGCAGCACAAAAAAAGACATTTGGTATAGTTTTCTCTTCTCAAGCAGTATCCTGGATACTCTGGTTATTTCACCAGATTTCATTTCGATTAATTCTCCTAAACATATGTATTCATAAATGATTCATTCAAATGTCATGGCTAATCTGGATGTTTTCTGTTATTGACTCCATTCTAAGTAAAAACTCTGGCTATGAGCAAACCAGCCATGGTGAAAGTCGACGGGATCACACTTTCCCTCATTCTGATGTTTTGACGTGAACAACTGAAGCTCCTGTAGAACTTTATACACCAGACTGCTGCCACGTGATTGGCTGAGGGGATAATTGCATGAATAAGCAGATGCACAGGTGTTCCCATGTATAAACAGATATATACAGTCACGTTGACAGAGTAAGGCAGCTTCAAACACTGTCCTGCTGGTGAAGCACTGCATCATTAATGACCGGCAGAGGACGCTGAGCTGCAGGTGAAAGAAGTAGAAACAAGTAATCATTTCCACAGAGCAGCGACTGAGAGGTGCGTCAAGTTAACGAGAGTTTAGCCAAAGCAATACCGGAAGTACACAATTTTTAAGAATAAAAGCACTACACTTTAACAACATTAACCATAACCATTCCAAGTTGTCTGACATGTAATTTGTATATAACTGTATAATGTTATCAGTTGTGCTTAAGCGTTAATGGCTGTAATTAGCTTATAAAAGCAGCAGGGAAATAAATTAGTGTTAAGTAAGTGGGACTCACTGAAACTAATGGTAACAAATTGTTATGAATGATTTTGTTATGTAATTACAATTTTGTAACCAAAACTAACGTAAACACACTATGGGTACAATTTGAATTCATAGCAAATATTTAATCAAATCACATTTCTCACTTGTATTTGTATTGTATATTACTATTATTATTAAAGTTACTATAGTTTTTTCTCTCCATTTCTACCTTTCTGAAAGTTACATTAGTGCCCATTCAGCGCATCTCACTTTACCTATGTTCAGGGTTAGATCAGGTCTTTTATTTTGAAAGGATTAATCGGAATATGAATGTTACTGTTATGGCTTGGTTTGTCTCGGCTCGGCTCGGCTGTCCGGGCTGAGTTCAGTAGTTTGTGGAATATTTAGTTAACTAGAGGAGGACGGCTGCAAATGGCAATGAGCTTGTGTTTGGACAGTTTTCTGAATAACTTCCTGAACAAAAGCAGCGACCTGATCCGCGAGGGCGGAAGAGAATGCACCGGGGCTGTTGTTAATTTAAAGTCACGTCGGGACAAAAAGGAAGACAACGAGTCGAGTAGCAGATCCGGTGGCTGTTATCATTCACCACCGTCCGACTTGAGGTTTTCCACTAAGCTGGTTGTGTTTCAGTAAAAGCTGTATCCCGACTGACATAAAGGCGTCATACTGGAAGAAATAAGCCGAATGCGTCCTTTGATATCTCACGGTAAGTGCTGCAGAGAAGCCCCAATGCTGCTCTTTCGAAGGCTGGCTCACCACGCCAAACTCCATTGGAAATCTTTCCATTTATAGACTTATTTTGTCCCGTCTCGTAGAACATGGGAGTAAATGGGACAGGGGTTGATACGAAACACTGTTCACGTTGTTCTAGATATAACTTTTCAATCAGCACAGGTTTGCTTAAAAACGTGTTTTTCTACCGGGTTTTCGTGGGATTCACACAATTACCCCAATTATACACATTTGTAAGCAGTAACGTCAAGAAAATGTAAACGTCTAAGTGTACAGAAAATGAAAACTGCTTGGTAAATTATATGTATTTTATATATTATATGGCATATGCCTGTAAACGAGCTGATTTTAATTTATTTTATTCTTAACTGAAAGAGCAAAGCTTTTTGTTTGGTAAATTACTAGAGTGAGCTTAAATGTTGCCATTAAACAATTAAAGTGAAGTATCAGGGTCTCTAAGCAGATTTGTTGCAAAGCTTCCTTACTTCCACATGGATTGTTAAACTAAGTTAAACTTCACATACATAGCTGAGCTACCTTGTGAAAAGGTGTTAGAGGACCTCACTGGACCAGGTCCTGATACAAAACTACGCCACTTGAACTTGTCAAATCTTAACTAGAGTGTTCCAGACAAGCCAGGGACTCGAAAACCTTTTGTTCTATTTGTGAAAATGTAAAAATAGGAATATAAATGCTTTTTAATACAGCCACAGAGACATGTCCTTTTGTGGCCAGAAATTCATTGAAGTCCATGTTTCTCCATTTTGTTTTTTTTATATCACATGAAGATCTCCTCTTTCTCACTTCAACACAGAAGTAAAAAAAACAAAACTTATATTAAGCTTTTGATAAACAATCACACATCTTAATAGATTTAAATTGGTTGATTTACTCATCAGATTCTTCTTTCCTCTAAGTGGCCACGTTCAGCCTGTCACTGATTCTTGTCTTCGCTGAAGCCGTCACTGTGGCCTGTGTTTGACCATATTTCAGCCGTTAGTGCACTTGTTCTTCATTGCTACATATGTCTATACATGAAGGCATTTTAATGAAAAGCTTTCTGTCAATATTTATCCTCACAATTATCATCATTTCTTTTGAAAAATCGTTCAATTGATCTCATTTAGTTTCTCCATTAACTTCTGCCATCATTTCAGACCCTGCTCTTCTCACGTTGTCCTCACTGTGTTTCTGCCCTTACTGATAACCCAGTCTGCCCTCCTTATATGATCCTCATTACCCGGTTATCCAGAGTTTATACTGTAGCCTATAGTCATCTGCCACACAGTATATTTTTTTGCTCCTAGTCATAGCATTGCTGCCCTTTTTGTTTTTCAGTTTATAATCTAGTCCAGATGTGACAAGTCAAGTATACTTGTTTTTGATCTTGACCTGGATGTGTAGATTTGAAAAAGCAGTGAAATCACAATTTTGTTTGTTTTCAAAAATATAATAAAATCTGAAACTGTTTAAAGAGTCTCTGGCTTGTCTGGGCTATCCAGTCCAGATTTGACAAGTTTAAGTGTAGTGGTTTTTCATCTTGACCTGGTCCAATGTGGTGTAGATGTGGAAAAAGCAAGGAAATGGCCCTCTCCTGCTTTCATAATAAAATAAGGTTTTCAAAAAATTCAAAGTGGGTTTCAAACGTTGTTAAGGCTTTAATTACAAGATGTAACACCACTACACAATAGTGAATCAGTCGCTTAGCATTGGAAGTTATTGGTACATAGCCAATGTTAATAGCTCTGTATGTGGTGAATCAGAAGCGATCTTAAGCGTCGTCTCAGATGAAGCTTTGGCAGGTTGGGTCGTTGCTGAGAAACCAATCAAATTAACATTTGATCAGTTCTGGAAATAAGCACCTTTTTATTAGCTGTGAATGAGTGAATATACTACATCTATATCTGTAGATTGTTGCCTTTACATTGGGATAACGATGGGATTTTGACTCAATATGGAAACTCTTACAAACTTTGAATGTGAACAAAGTATTCTAAATACATTTGTTTATACTCACTTTTTCCATTGTATTATAATGATGTTTTGCTTCGTGCTCTCTTCCGTTGCCCCATCCTTGTCCTTTTGGGAAGTCAAAGGTCAACAACACACCAGCACCAGCTGTCATCTTTTTCTCTCAGTTTTGGCTTTTGGAAAAGAATGACTAAAGCCTGATGGTTGGGGTCTGTGATTTTTTTCTGGCCAAATCCTAAATTTCCAATTACAGCAATTAAAAAAAGAAAAGAGTAAAAAGCAGCAAATTCAAAATTGTTATTGGTACATTTTCTGTCATTTGATTAATAAATGAATAGGATGATTAACCAGTTATTTATATATTATAAAAAATGAGCGAGTGTCGGGCAGTTTTCTTCAACTGAAGGCTAATGTAGCTGGATCTTAAAACAATTCCCGCTGCTGCTTCACACAAGCTTTCCACAGGCACATCGTTGAGAGGCTTTTATTGTGAAGTAGCCAAAGGCATGCAATTTTTTTTGTAGCTGCTTGACAAAAATCATCTGTGGTTTGCAGGTGAGAGGCTTTTATTGCGAAGCAGGAAAATGAATGATACTTTGCTGTGTTTTTATTCAATAAAAAATGGTCTACACAACAAGACTTGGTCACATTGGGTTCTAGTAGGGAGGAATGGGACTAAAAGAAAAAACACCGAGTTGTTTAGTTGAAGCGCTGCAGTTAAAAACTTAGAGAGAATATGAACACACCTCTAAATATGCTGCTGAACCTCCTCTCTGTGCAGGTTTCCATGTGATGGTGTGAGGATGGGACAGGGTGGTGCTGTTAGTGACTGCAGCCCTGGAGGCTGATGAACCTGCTCCATCGGCCAGTCAGGATGCACATAGCTTCAGTGGGTGTCAGCAAGTTCTGCTTCCTGTTTTCCCTCGCATTCTGCGGCCTCCTGCTTCTGCTCCTCCCGGCCCTCCAGCCTCCAGCTCGCCAGGTGGACCTGCCTCAGCCCCGACCCCAAATCAGACCTACAACGTCGCACCACACCAGGGTTCCAGCAGTGTCCGTCCACGCTGGCGAAACTGATTTGTCCACAGGGCTGAATGGGAGCTCAGTGGGCCAGGGGGGATCCACAGAGACTGAAGTTACCAGGAATGATAAGAGTGAGGTGGGCTCCAAAAAAAGCCAAGAAAGAGGGGCTCCCCCTGGAGGAAAGATTGGTGGTGGACTTTCAGGGTCTAAGTCCCATGACCCGTTAGAGTTGAAGGACATTTTTATTGCTGTGAAGACTACCA